TTCGACCCGCTCCCCGCAATTTCCACCTCCAAGTCCACGTGGCAAAGGCATATGAAACAACCAAGTTACTTGTTTAGTAAATGGGACTAGAAGAGATACACGGGCGGGTGTGGTGCGACTGTGATGAACGTCCTGTGCGGTATGGCCCGGCAGGGCTATTTCGTGATCCGCGCACAACGACATCAGGTCTTAGAGTGATGGGGCCGGTACAACCTCGCGGATCCGTGTCTAGACACACAAAAGGTTTTGCGCACGAAGAGATTTGCGAATACGAAGTGATCCGCTTAATGAAACGGCGTCACTCGCGTTTGCGATGCAAGCATGAGCGAACATCTGTGACGACCTCACTCTTCAGAGGGGCTGTGGATCTGTGGCTGAACAAACTTCGTCAGGTGGGCATGTACCTGGACTACCTAGCTTGGGTCGGCATATTCAACGGGCGGTGCAGTAGTGAAGCAACGGTCGTAGTACAGTAGTGGAAAGCTGACAGCTCAAGTGCGCAATCGCAAGGCGCTTGTACGTACGGATTTGGACATGATATCTGTCTTAAGATATCATCCAGTCTAGCAGGAACCTCCGATGGTGTCCAGTGGATTCGCCAATCCTGCTATGATACGAAGGTTTGCACCAGGAAGGTTTCTAACGCACGTCATTCTGCGGTGTACAGCACTTACAGGACACAGGTCTGGCTCCGACAGTTAGAGGTAGTGGAGCACCCACTTCGATGCAGTATCCGAATGCCAATGGCCTGAAACACTGCTGGTGCGATGTCGTCCCAGAACGCAGGCCATTTCATTCAATAATGGTAATCCTTTGTGCGAATAGGATCAATTGAATTTTCCGGATTCCTTACCGATCCATCCCATTCGTCGAAACCCATGAGGCCAACCACCAGGGCGACAAATATAGGGATATAGCTAGTTAGTGAAACTGTTGAACGCAAGAAGGTAACAGCAAGCTAGTCGCCGCCAGTCACTCCAGCAGATGTCAGATAGTTAGATGGAAAGGTTAGTAACTTTGCAGGCGCCGTCACGGAAGGGTCCAGCCCTGAGCAACGATTGAGTCATTGACCGCGAAAATGCCTTCCTCGTTGACGTTGCATTGTGACTCCGCTGCCAGCTCGAAAAGGTCCGCATCTTGCCCGAGTAGACAGGACAATTCAAAACTGACTGTGCGTGGTGGCGGAGGATCCACGGCAATGTTAGACGATCTATTGATATGCTAGTCGCTAGCTCACCCATCGTCACACGCTATGGCGGACGCAGACCATGGTGTTTAGAGGGTCCGGCGGCGGGCTCGAAGCCACAAGAGAAGAGAGCAGCGCCACCACTCCTGACGCACGATAGCAGTAGTGGTGTTTCTCGAGGTTGTGCCGAGGTTCAGGCAACCAAGACAGATAACGTCGTATGAAGCCAACAGCGGGAGGTTACGGGAATGTCAAGTGCCATGAAACCGCACAGTATAAGACAAACTTAGTAACGGTTGCAGCGAGTCGAGAGCATCTACGGGTGCCGTTGCTTGCGATACTGCTCTTGATTCTAAAAGGGTCTTGGCTCTAACGTCGAATAATACTCCGCATGCTACTGCAACAGGGCGAATAATGTCCTGCACTGGAGTTAATTTCAGGAGAATAAAACTGCAGGTTGCTCGTAATCAAGTTCACGTGGCACCCGCACTTACACTTTCAGCTACAGCTGCGCGGGCCGGACCCCTCTACAGCTTTTGACAAATGAGCGCTCGACATTGGCCGAGGTAGCCCCGAAACAAGCTTTGCTTTTGGTCCCTGAGGAGGAGTTCGCCGCACACGGTGTTCGCATTCATTGCGCTCCGCCGGATGATAGCCGCTTAGCGCAATGCTAGCAGGAATTATCCGTACGATCCGGATCTCCAGGATCGTCCAGGGACCTCATACTCCAATGTAGATCATCCCCGTCATGTGCACACCTCTGCGCACCTGTAGTAGCTGGTCTAATGGAGCTTGCCGAAATGTGAGGTTGGTTATCTCAAGGTAGATGGATGCTCAGGACGGATCACGCCGTGGATGGTGCCAAGGTGCACTATCAATCAATAGAAATCGCCGGGGGTAATCCTAGGTCGATTGAACGCCGGGAGGGCTTGATCGTCATGATATCTCTACCACAACGACAAGACGGCAGGCCAGCTTTCTCAACGTGTGACAAGACAGTGCCCAGAGACAGCGAGGAAGATGACTCAAGTTGGCTTTTGCGACAAACGGATGTAAAATCGCTTCTTCCTTCCCAGAGCGAATCCATCCGAAGCGGAGCAAAATAGTGAAAACCGAAGCGAATACGGACCAGTGATAGCTGCTACATGCGACCCATCGTGACACCGCTGTGAATTTGCGCGTTGGTGTGTGATTGTTGCCGACCGGATGCCGCAACATGTCACATGGCAAGATTGCAGTGATCGCGCGTACTCCAGAACAAGAATCGATGCAGTGTCTGTGACTGAGCCATGATCGTACTGTACGTAACAAGACCCTGATGTGTTATTAGCGTGTCGTCGTCGATGTGCAAAGGCATCACATCATCGAATTTGTGCTGATCTCAGCCGATTTTCGCCTACCCGCGCACCTCAAGTCACACTTGCTGCCACCTGCTTTCCGGAAGCAATCCGGGGCAGGCGAGACACTGGCGCAGACCGAATGAGCTATTCACAGTGGACTGTTCCAAAACCGACAAGGTAAAATTCTTGATTTGATGATTCGTGGGCTCAGCTGAACTTCTGGTCATAGCAGTAAGAATAGCGCGATTAATAGTGATGCGACAGGCCTGGTACTCCAGAAATCAGACCACGAAGACACGGCGGTCGAGCACGTGTATCAACGAGTTAAAGAAACTAATTCGCGTCAGCGCTATTGCAATCGACACGCGAACAGTGCAAGGAATATTGGGTTAGTACGCTCTGCCATAACCTGATCACCAGGTTGAGAGTGGACTCACTGATCAACGTATTGTGAACGTGCGGCCTGAGTCGATGCTGGTTGTATATATGTCCGGGACCTATATTTGCTTTGTTTAAGAGCTTGTAAAGCAACGATGTTCCCAGTCGAAGCCACGTCTTGTGGCGCGCGCGTGAACATGCGTAACCTAGTTACACGTACTTCATACCAGTGGAGAGCTAGGCAATGTTGAGTTGTTTCTCGTGGATGGGGCTGGATGGGCGATCGTCTTCTCACTGAGACCTCTAAGTATCTAGCGATAGCCGTTGAAACCTGGTTGCTGTCAGGCGCGGTGTCAGCAAGCCTCAATAATGATGCTAACGCACGGATGCGAGACGAGTGATGCCCGCCCTAACCAGAGGGGGATGATATCTGCAATGCCGCCCGGCCGAAAAGGGCGAAGTGCGTGACTTGCAGGACAGCACTGACTCGAACCTCACAAGTCTGGCTGCGGACCGGACTTGATAGCGCCGTCCACTGTCTGGCTAGTCGGCATAAAGTACATCATCGGCTATAGATGACGTTCCTGACTAGATGATAACTCATCGAGTGAGCTTGCAAGGGACGATCAAGGCTGAAGCGCACGTCTGGGGAGAGAGCGACGCGGCTCTATCCCTGGCCCTCAACGGCAAGGATGTCGCGTCAGTCACCAAGTTGCCTTTGCAGTAGACCATGCAGTTCTGTTGCTGCAACTGCACCAGGACCCGCTTGGTCGTCACGCATCAGCTGCATCGTCGTCATTGTCAGTCCCGCGTCTATTGCCTGAAGGCCTTTGGAGGTTGGGTCGTTGGGTCGCATGGCGACTGAACTGATAACATTGGGAAGTGCGTGGATGGGTGGCAGTCGTAGCCGCGACCCCACAGCTGCGTGGCATCAAACGTAGCTGCAAATCTCAGGCATACATCGATGCATCTTACACGGACTATTGGAGAAGTTCGCAGGTCACGGCGTGCTGAGCGGTGCAATTTTTCAGATGGAGTGTGATGGGCGTGCATGATTCTCTCCAGGATGAGGGGGAGGGATTTCATTATGGTACGTGCACGCTAGGCTGTGTTTGGTCGTCACTTGACTTTTATGGATGCGCGGCGACTGCTGAGCCAAACACAACCCACGCGGAGATGCGCAATTCTCGGAAGATATTTCGTCGCCCTGGATCTTCCCAGCCGACGGTGGTGCGGCGTTTGCATGGTTGCAGTGAACATTAGAGGTAGGGGTTGGTCGACAACAGCTGGGCTGAGAGCCAGGAAGCAGACGCGGCCGTGTGAAACATAGCGCACCGTCCCGGATCCGCGATGATTAGACCAGTCTGCGTGGTCCTTGGCCACTCTTCCTCATGACGCTTGGTCTCATTCGGATTCGCATACCCCCATCCCAGTCGCCATGCTGGACATCTGCGCTGTGCCTTGTTCCGGCTGCATCCTGCTCTCTTGGCCATCTCCGCACCGCTCCCTCAGCATCCGACCGACTTCGGGCCTGCTGAAGCCACGCGGAAGGGCCGCATTGCTCATGCTGACCCGATACTCGTCTTCAATGCAGTCCGACGACCGTTTCTGGGTCCAGGACGTTGCGGGATGAAAAGAGTTTCGCGTGCTGCCTCACCAGCGGCCGCCGTCCAGGAACATGAAGCTTACGCTGTCCTAACGTCAGGCCCTGGCAGCTGGGGAGTCATGGCACACTAGTTTAGCTGGCAATGGTGCGGTGGGCGGCGGTGGAGTAGGCACAGGGAATGCTGCTTGTGTGCGTTGATCGTCTCATGGGCCAGACCCACGAACTGGCGGATGGCTGGAGGCGAACATCCCCAGTAGGACTGCCTCACATGTCCAGTGTCTCCGTCCAGGGCCTAGCAGTGCGCTCAGCAGGGGGCGATCGCTGCGCTACTGTAGCCATCAACTGTCTGCCATCCGAACCAGGTAAAGTCTTCCTAGCGGCCAGTCTCGTAGTGTGTCATGGCCGCCGGAGACAAGCGTTTCCCTCCCAGGCACTTCACCACGACGTATTGCCTTCGTGCTCTGTCGCAAGTCGTGCATATTCCCTCACGCTTGACCTGCCCCATCCATCAGAGTCATTGCCAGGAGTCGCCAATTATCTCCGACAGCCCATCCTAGCTGTCATAGGTTGGATAGCGTGCAATTCCAAGGAGCCATGTCCATGTCCGCTGGCTGATGCCGCCGTTGCTACTATTACCTCCACTCCCTATTATCGTCCCAGGGCCTACCTACCCTGACATCCTTGTTGCTTCGCAATTCGCCGACGCATCGATATTAACCCCCAATTATACATACTTGTACCCGTTCCCTGGACCACTCTCTGGTACCTCCTGTCGGCGACCTACATTCTCCATATTGTTGTTTGCATCTGCAGCGCCAGTACGTGCACAGTCCTGCCCCTCTACCACCTTGTGGCTTGACGACCATCCAAACAATTTCTGACCCTTTATACAGTTCACCCACTGCTGCTGCAACCCATCACGACGGCCCACGCATAATTCTCGTCCTGTAAGCGAGATCAAGACTGGAGTCGGGATAGAACTATCTGCATCGTCAACGCACCTGCCCCGCCTTTCGTCCCGCCCATTTCCAACCTCAACATCTGGAACGACACCGTTCGCATCGCCACATTTCGCTCTCTTCAGCACTCACTCATTGCAACATTGACACTGGTGAGTTCCTATTCTAGCACCCGCTGTTGTCGCATGCGCTCATTGGTTACAGCCGCTTGTCCCCAAACTGGTATTCCGAGTTCTTGGTCCCGTGTTACATCCGCGCATCTTCACTACCATCCATATAACGAATCTCGACTGCTGTGCGATCGAAGATCGTTTCTCATGCTATTCTGCTGATTCAAGGGATTGACCTCGCTTTCTTTCCGGATCACGTTCGAAACGTTCGTCTGAAAACGGAATCGAAACCATCAACTACCACTCTTCCCCATGTTGCAAGGTATCAGGGCATCGACTCTGACGATGCCTTCCTTCGGACATGACATGTCCATTGGTGGCGTGCAAAAGGTGGAAGGATACAGCGATACAGATTCATGGAACTGGCCCCAACAACCGACCTCCCACCAAGCTTCATACTCGAACATGTTTGATCCTTCTATGTACGCCAGCTTCACCCCTCCCATGCAACAGCAAGTTCGCCAACCGCCCCGCCATCACTCAATCGCCACTTCTCGCGTCGTTTCAACTGCGACTAGCACGCCACCACCCCCCAGGCCCCAGGTCACAGGAAACATGGTCAAAGCGCAGCCGGCTTTCAAGCCCACGTGGCAGGGATTCCTAGACACAACCAAAGATGCCATGACCGTAGTAGAAGCAGCACTTCAAGGCCGCCTCAGCCATATTAGTCGCAGACCGCATGACAAAGAGCGCGCAGAGATGCTTACTTCTGGAACCGTATTGGTGTACGAGGAGAACGCCTCTGGTATCAAGCGATGGACCGATGCTGTCCACTGGTCCCCAAGTCGGGTTATGAACAACTGCCTCATCTACCGCCAGCTCGTGCGCGCGTTGAAGCCAGAGGAGAAGAAGTCGGCCCTGAACCCATCGTGCGGAACCAAGAGGAAGCGGAAGGAAAACAATGGCCCCGTTAGGTCCAAGACTGGCGAAGTGCTAGAAAACTCAGAAGACGAGTATGAAAATCCCTCGTTCGATCCCTCGCTATCCGGCGATGTCGACTCCATGAACAAGGTGTACGCCAACTTTGCCCAGAGCTTGACACCCGATCAACAGCGACGTTTCTGCGGCTCTCTCATCGATAGCTACGAGTTCAAAGAGGGTGGTTTGATGAAGAAGACCATCTCAGTCAAGTACCAGGGCACTCATCACCATGTCATTTCTTATTACAGTCTGGAGGACGTCGTGAGCGGAAAGCTCAAGCGACCATTCCAAGATCCAAAGCTCGCCGACATCCAGCCAAGACCCGAGCTTTTGAATGGTTGGAAGGTTAGCCTTGAAGATGAGGAGAGCAAGGACATGCCCCTTGTAGCAGGATACCCACACCACATCCAGCCAAGTCATGTGCAGCATCATGTTATCGGAGCTGTAACTCAATCGATCGGTGCTCAGGGTCAGCTCCAGACTCATGCCCCCCTTCATCTAACAGTTCCCGATTACTGGCATGGTCCCCAGGTTTCGCAGTACTCGTCGAGCCACCATAGCCCGCAACACTATGCAGCACCTCAGCCTGTGGCACCTCAGTTCTCGGCGCACCAGCCAGCACACCAATACTCTGTTCCGCAGCCATCGTCGCAGCATTACGCACATCCGCCATCTCCTCAACCATACTCTTCGCCACATTCAGCTACTTCTCAATACTCCACACAAGCTCCTCCGTCTTCACACTACACGCCACAGCCACAATCGGCGCGTCCCTACTCTTTCGAACCCCCCTCTACTACATCAGCCTCCTCATACTCTCAGCACGCACCTGCCCCACAATACCAGGCGCCACAGCCTGCTGCATACACTCTACCTCAATCCGCTGGCTTCGAGGCCCAGGCTCTGCCCCAGCAAAGCTCACCTGTCGGCCCCCAGCAGACCCAAGTCCCTGGACCACAACACGACCAACAGAGGAGGGCTTCGGCACCAGTGGCTCTGCAGCAGCCGTTCACCACACCGCAATTTCCCGCGGCTCCCCACCCTCACTCATACTATGTAACGGATCAGAAGTACGTTCCAGAGCAGAAGTACTCATCTAATGCGCACCACGGATATTAGGGTGCTGTCGCCTTGCATCATTTCACACATTTTCGAGATATACGATCTACAGAGCATACACGAGACATTCATGGAGGATGATTTGGTTGCGATACCCCCTTAGCGACATTTCCTTTGGCGAAGGTGGTACTTTCCCAATACCAGCATTTTGGCTCATGGTAACCCAGTTACCCTCTTTCCTACAGATATGGTCGGAGTTGTTGGTCCTTTGGTTCTCTTTGCTTATGTTTGTCCTTCTGGACACGTGTTTCAATCAGTCTGTCATCATGGTGGTCTTTACCAAAAGCATCTCATGTCCTACTTCGCATGGTCGCCTACGATACCTTGTCGCATTGCATTGCATGTGTTTTCTCTCGTTCTCGTTACCATACTTGCTGCCTATTACCGCCATACCCTTGTACAAATATAATCCGACGCATGTAGCTAGTGCTCTATAGTAGCAGCCTTTACCACTAAACATCGCGGATACGCGCGACGAAACAAATCAATCAATAAGTCAAAACATTCTGCTCCACCTTCTTTAATTCGTAAATGAAACGTGTCCACTTGTTCAGTCATCATTTGCTCTATCTCTATCTGCCAGCTGCCGCCAACCGGCTTTGTCGTACGATTATTCCTACGAAGCGGACCGCGAAACACGACAACAAGACCCATCCTAGACGTCGACCTTCTATATCACTCAAAGCGGAAAAAAGAACACGAGATTTTTCTACGCCGCACTCCTGCGCTAAGTCTACGGAACAGCTACCATGTCGCAACTCAATCCAGCCCTATCCTACTGGCTAGATGGAATCCCCCTTCCACAGGAACAAATATCGCATCATTCACATCACATATCGACTGACCCGCGCCATATCGCCGAGCTATCGTTATTGCGCATTGCACATCGATGACAGGATTCCGATTCGCGAGATACGGTAACCGGGCCAATTGATAAAGCAGGGTGAAGAGCAAGGGCTTCTGGAGTTGGGAAAGGGATTGCTGTGCTGAGTAGTTCACGCGATAGTGGTGTGCAGGAAGGCGTGTCTTAGATGTGAGATCTGTTAGAGATCCGAGCGGGTAAGGATGGAGAGCTCGGGAGGAATGCGAAGGGTCGATGGACAAGATGACGCGTGTTGTTCGAAGGACGAAGAGTCGGACGGATTTGTGCGAGCGCTTAGCAAGGACGTTGGAGATATGATGTTAGCGTCGGCGCATCGCTGCATGTCATGTTGACGGCATACATCCCATAGGATGGATTTTTATCCCACCCATAGGGCTGTAAGTATGTCCTGCATGACATTCGATCGCGGCTCGGTGTGAGTTACGCGGTGTTGCGATTCATGGTCACGCTCCTTCGTGGCTATAATCCCTTCCATCTAGTACTTTGTGGAACACGTTGCATGAATAGCCTCAGGAGACATGCATGTGAAGAGCGCCATGTCAAGCAGTTCTACGGTGAACAGGCATCGTATCATCCGCAATGTGATAGCCAAGGGTTGGTACGTGATATCTACGTCTTGCCAGTGCGTTTCCATAAACGGACGGAGAAGAGCTCGCGGGCATGACTTAGCTTACTGCAGATACCCTTGTCTACGTTATCAAATTCGCAATCCTGGAGCGTAATGGTTGTAATAGCCCTTGATCGTTCTACTGAAGCGTCTGGACATGTGACGACACTATGATCACAGTGCGCGATCATCAACGGGGCAACTTTCGTATCACCGTGCATGGTGGATCGAGGTTCGCAGGGTGTACTCGGTCTCTGAGTCGCATTTTCGTGTCGGTTTTATATAGACCGTCATTGTGTGGTTGTCATGAGTAGTACAGAGAACGTGCCCGTCTCGGGGAGCCGCGTCGCGTGCGCGAGCGCGATCTCGCTTGTTCCTCCAGCCGCCCTCTTTCCTCTCACCATCCCATTTCTCCCCATCTTTCCATCATCGCATTCCATCGAAGAAACCGTTCAAACTCCCGCAACTGTGCGCGGCCTGTTTAATGAATATGGACTCATTCTATGCATCCTTCACAGGGTGCTTCCACTGCTGGTACGAGACATAAGCCTGGAAGCCGGAGATTCCGAGGCCTAGGATCCCAATGACTACTGCGATGAAGACACCGATCATTGTTGCCATTAGCATGTGCCTTTGCGCACTATATTTTTGAAACCAGTTCTCCCAATCACGACGAGGGCTTGGATGCTGTATCTCGTCGTAGATCTCCTTCAAACGGGTACCAAAGTAGGTATAATCGACCTCGGGTTCATCCTTCCGTCGGTATCTAGATACGCCACATTGCAGCAGATCCAGGTCCAAACCATATCTTGGTACGAGTGCTTCAGATGCATCATCTTTGAACAGGATACAGTACAGCGTGTCCAACACTTCCAACACGAGTAACCGTGGGATCAAACAACGACTTCCATCCGGACGGCTTGCTAGTAACATCTCCTTCAGTACAGCAGAACAATGAAAAATCCGGATGACTTTTCTCTTTCCACTATAGTCCATGGTCAAATGACCACGCAGATCATCAGTCGGTTCAAGCTTGAATCCAGCCTTAACCAGTTTACTAGCCGTCAACGAGTCAAGGAAATCGGAGAATCTGGTGTCTTCCAAGCTGCGCTCTAGGAAACCAATGCTCCCACGTGGGAACGCTTCGGAAACAAACTCTGTGGCGGTCAAGCTGCTGCGCCACGAAATGGATGGACCACCTTCCTCGAGGATATCCGCGCAATCGAGCGATGTTCCACAGTTGATCATAAACATAACACTGGCTGCTATGTTTACCGCTCGATCCCGATCCGTGGCATCTGTACAGACCTTCCCATTAGAGTTTTGGGCTGAGAAGTGAGATTTGATGATGCTTTCTCGATCCAGATCTGGGTCGTCTTGGATAGCCTGGATAAGTCGAATGAGATCGTCATGTGACGACAAAGCTGGAAATGAGCCTTTGGTGTATTCCGGCACGTATGAAGCGGTGAGAGTCTTGTATCGATTCCAGAATGTGTGAAGACGTTCTGCCCGACTCCATGGACACTCTGCCTGGCCGCACGTCGCGTCTCCAGTGCATGTGCCGCAGGTTTTCCATTTCCATATTGCCTTACTCAGCTTTTGCAATTGTTTGGAATCGACATTGTTCAACAGAAACCGTGTATTCAGGGTGGCTGCCATTTGAGGATGAGTGTAGCGCACTTAGGATGTTCGTGTACGAGGGGACGCTCTGAAGCTACTACATAGTTTTGGAGCTCAGCCCACCTGGGCGCATGCGAGGCTGAGCGATGCAAATGCATGATTGGTCGCCACATATGCATACCGACAGGATTTTACCGCATCTGATTGGCGTTATGGATGTCAAGGCACTCATCGAGGCAGATTGCGGCACTAAGGCATCAGCAACGCAAAAGGTGCCTCGTTTGTCACCGGTCACATAGCCCTGCGGATACTTTCTCAGCCTTACAGTATCATAGTCATTTCAGTCCCTTGGGCTCGCCACTATTCTTGAGTTCATGCGCACAGCATGCAGACTGTTTCTGCCACGCCCACGTCTCCGCATGGCGCGACTGTCAAGGACTCTACTTGCAAGACCCTCGATACGGTCAAAGGCCTTACACGATTTGAAAAGGATGTTGACGAAACAATCTCTTCCTATTTTGAGGACGTTGTAAAACGACTGAGACCGACGCTTCTGGAAACCTTACGCAACTCCAAGAAAAATTTTCGGCCAATTGCCATACGTCTACTTGTCTTAGGGGAGGACGAATGTTCGGCTAAACCCTGTATCGTTGTGTTTTGCCCAGATCGTGTAAGCGATTTGGTCGATAACTACTTCCGGAGAGACACTCCCAAACGACTCTGTCAACCCGGCAAGGCTGGTCCGGCGTCTTTTGACGTAATCGTTGAAGGTGATGTGAACTCGAAGACGTCTCTTCATCCTCGGTCTATATCCATCTGTACTGGCCGCTCTGCCAATGATGCTCGAAGATTTAGGAATACCCATCTTAAGGTCAACGGAATCCATGGAACTCGATACGCTACGATGGGCGGCTACATAGTGGTAATCGGCAAGAATGACGACCTCTCGATGTATGGTTTGACTGCTGGACATGCCATTGTTCACGACGTTTTCGAAGAAGAAATCCAGAGCGAGGAGACCAACCAAGCACCTAATACAGAGCGAGTTCTTTTTCCTACCCTCACCACGACTGCTCCTCCACAGGTGTCGGATTCAGACCAGAGCCGAAAGATGCATACCACTTCATACAACTTGACCACTAAGTCTCAGGAGGTGATTGAGTGGTCAGGTACTGCAAAAGTCATACCAGAGTCCTTTTCCACTGAAGCATGCGATCGAGATTGGGCTTTGTTTGAAGCAACGCCGGACCAACCCAGTAACGGAATTCAACAAGACCAACTCTTCGAAAGTTATGACCTAGGCGAACCTAGAATGGGCACTTTGTGGATAGACGATGGAGTAGAGATGAGCCTTCAACCCCCATTTATTGGAAAGCTTTCTCGTCTACCTTCGTTCGCAATACTGTCCTACGGGAACGATCTCGTGCGGGTTCACACGATCACAATGCGCAATGCTCGCGGTAAGTAATGACCTCGCAACCCACGGTAGCTGACTAACAAGTAGCAGGCGTACCAGCAGGCAGCTCAGGTACCTGGGTCACTGCGGAAACGACGGAGTCATCTAGTGACACTCGACACCAAGGCTCGACAACAAGTGATTCATATTACCAGCCCAGCAGGAACGTAACAGTTTTCGGGCAAGTCGTCGCAGATGACTCTTTGGGGGATGTTTACATGGTGCCTCTTTGCGACATTCTCGAAGACGTCAAGCAACTTTTCAACGCTCGGGAGGCAAGATTGCCAGAAAGCAATTCGGAAGTAGACAGCATCCTGCGCAGGGGTAACAATAGCCCTGGAGCTATGAGAGATGATATCGCAGCAGCAGGTTTACTAGAGAACGAAGCCGGAGCCACACTCGGCCACTCTGAAACAGCATTTTGCTCACGATGCGGTTCTGACAAGCACACAAGAGAGATTTGCGGGGTAGATGATCCTGCCAACAACCGTGGAGAGGAACTCAAAGCAGTTATGGTACCTGTAGAGGTTGCATCACATGACCCAAATGAGAAATGGCGCGGTAGTGGTAAGGTAAAGGGGACAGTAGTTTGGTACTGTTCGAATTGTGGGGATGGTCCACTAGGTCCTTGGCAGAATGTATGCACCAATTGTTCTCATGATAGATGCGTCTCTTGTGCGACGGAGTACACAAGGTAGTGCAGCGCAATGTTCATGGTGGCTGGGTGGCTAGGTGGCTGGTTAGTTACCCGTCCCGCTAGCGTTTCACAACATTCATCGCAACGAACAAGAATCTTCGTGTTCTTCTCATAATACAAACTATCATGCCTCCCAAAAGACGTAATGACGTCCCGCCGACGTCGGTGCCAGATTCCAAAAGGCGGGTTACGCGATCGTCAATGACAGCTGATGCAACAACATTATCCAACCAGGCGAACGTCGCAGCGGATCCAAAAGCTGAGACCACGATTTCAAGATCTACATCACAAGCAAAGAGGGCCGCGAAGATTGCGCCAAGACCCAAGCCAACCAAGTCAGATAAGGTAGATGTCACAACCAAGGGCTCAACTCCATCCAACGTCACGGCCCGAACCATCACACATGAACTAGTCAAGAAACCAATCCAATGCCATCAGTACACGCCGTCCTCTTCAAATTCCTCGCCAACCTTGATCTTCACCCATGGCGCAGGCGGCACGCTCTCTGCCGACGCAGTAGTAAACTTCTCCACCGGCTTCTCCGAGTATCTCCCCGTCCTCGCATTCCAAGGCTCCATGAACTTAAAGGCGCGAACCAAAGGCTTTCACGCATGCATCGAAGAAACCCACTCTAGCCAAAAAACCACGCAAAAGAGGAAATCAAAAGAGCAGATTAAGAGAAAGAGGATGTTGTTAGGTGGAAGAAGCATGGGCGCCCGAGCCGCCGTCATCGCCGCCAGCGAACACCTAGCCGAGCAAGACCACGAACAAGAGGATATGAGTATACAGCTTATCCTCGTATCGTACCCACTTCAAGGTCCTAAAGATGATTTGCGGGATCAGATCTTGCTCGACTTACCTGAGAGTATCGGCGTATTGTTCATCATCGGCGACAAAGACGCCATGTGTCCACTCGATCTATTGAACGAGACTAGAAGCAAAATGGTAGCGAAATCGCAGGTCGTTGTTGTAAGAGATGCAGATCATGGTATGAACATTAAGCCTGCCAGCGCTACGAAGGAAGTTGGTGAATCGACCGGACGGGTGGCTGCGTGGTGGGTGGAGGGAGATTTGAAGGGGGATGTACAATATATCGGAAAACAAGAGGAGTGAGTAAGAAAGGTATGAAGTTTTTCTAAAGACGGATCTTCAAGCATATTGGTGGTCTTGAACTCTTCACGTTTCTCATCTGCTCTTCTCTTCATTCCAAACATGAGATATTGCTACTGCATCTCCCGATCTGATTGGGGGTACCTATTCTCTACTACTCGAGAGATCTCGTGCCCGTTCTCATATTCCTCGTCAGATGTGACGATACCTCTTCTCGCTAGCTCCTCCAGCCCTTCTGACGTCTCAGCCAATTCCATTCACCCAACGATTTCATCATCAATCGATCCATCACTATCGTCTTCTTCATCAGATGCGTGTACTGGTAGCCGAAGTCGAGTCCCAAGATGGTATCGAATGTCTTGTGAGTGCCAACCTAGGTCGGGCGAAAGGGAAGTTCGCCAAATCCTTCGCCTGCTTAGAGGCCATGCCAGCCTTCTTGTCGGCGCGTTCATTGCTGGAAATTCCCGAGTATGCTGGAGACCAGAACATCTGAACCCTTCCGGGTTCGATAGGGAGGAACCGGAGTAGTTCGAGAATGTCTCGACAAATCGTGGCCTCGTCGGGGAGAGGAACGGGGTCAGAGTTGTCTGGTGCAAGAGGAATGGGTTGCCAGATCTTGCTGTGTTTAGGAATCGCAAGTATTGCTCTCTTAGAATGCTCTTTGAGCATATGACGGGTAGCATCCCGTTCTTGGCGACGTGACTAGCGAAGAGGATGCGCGAAGTCCTCCATGGTGGCTGGTGACGACGCGAGAGGTATTATAGTCCTAGCAAGGGGTGATTCTCCGAACGACCTGTAAAGGTAAAGATACCAAGTCAGTGTATGTCTCACATGCATTTCGTACAGGTAAAAATCACCTTCATCCGCAAGTTTGAGAATTGCTTCGCAACTTGACCGACGAAAGCGAAGCGATACCAAGTGCCAGTATACAAAGATGACGAAATCGGAAGCGTCGCCACCATGGGCGTTGCTCGACAACCTTAAGTCGCAAAGCAAAGTCTTGGTTAACCTAAATTTGCTGCCGAAGTTGTTCTTAAAGCAAAGTCTTATCGTCGGCTGACTGTCGGTTCTGTCGAAGTATGTTTGACGCGTCTGCGCTTGCAATTGACCAGCTAGCGGATGCGCTGAGAATGGCTGGAGTAGTTCCAGTCAGAGCGAAAAATAAGAATGCACTGGCGCAACGAGCGAGGCATCTCGTGGGCGAGTCGATGTCCAGATGGGAAAGCGGATCTCCTTTGGTAAACCAAGGAAGCGTGCAAAGCTGGGCTGCGGTCTCAAGCCACGCTGTATGATATCTGACCACGACTGAGCCGGCTGAGCAGCACTGCAATGTCGTAGGGAGACTACCCCTGCAATGCGTTCGTGCTGTTGAACGATTGATGGATTCTCAATTTCGGCCTCGAGGCGCTTGGTATGTCGTGTAACGGTAGTCGCGACAGAAACGATCCACGTGAAAATGGAGGAATTGGAGAACCTGGTCTTGATGACACATTCGGTTTTGATCGCAAGGAGGTACCATTGGCGAGGCGATGGCCAGGAAGTGGTGTTGACGCAATGTGATTTCTGCCCAGTGCTCTGAATGTCAAAGCAAAGAGATTCGATCCTGAGGAACGACTCCTGAATAGGTTGTTGTATATTCTTGTCTCTCCTGAAGAAGTAGTCTCCTCCTAAGACATCTACTTCGTGGCCCTCGGACTACCTCCACCGACTCGGGCCCCATCCGTTTGGGTAGTTTGCAAGGAAATCACGAAGCATCTTGCGCAATGTTAGCAATTGCCTAGAGCGATAGAACTGATATGGTCGTACATGGAGCAAAATGGCCTATATCATGCTGAGCAGGCCGGTCAAGGTGTTCTTAGCACCAACCAACCAGACGTTGCGGGGCTCACCCTCATAGCTGGTATACAAATCTGTAGAAGCAAGCGAGGTTCCGGGGATTTCGCCTGTCAGATTCAGAAGTGAACGAATGTGGCGTCTTTTGATGAAGATTGCCTTTCAACGACAACGCAGCAGTTGCACGTGAAGTGCTCTTCGCAATGAGCAACACCAGCTGAGAATGGGAAGTCGTCTGCGCAGATGTAGCACTCGTATTCGATTGTGTCTTCGGCTAATTGTGACTGGGAAGATGGTACTTTAGCATGAGCTTTCTGATCTTCGGCAACAGAAACTACGATATCTCCTGCCAAGTTTAATCACTAGAGACCTGGAGGTTACAGCTTGAGTATAGACCGGTGGAAGCAAGTGAGTTCCCCGAGAGTTCGCCTGACTGTCGCAGGTCATTGAACTTAGTGGTAAATCAGGGGCGAAGTTATCGCGAAGGTACAGCGGGAATGTTGTGTACCGGTAGTCACGACGGAATTGATCTACATGGAACCGGGTAAAATTGGCCACCAGGCCCCGAAAGTAGGGTCAAGATGTATTATTGGGGACCTGGAGGCTGAAGACTGCCTTTGAGATAGGTGAGGATGGTCGTAGGTATCGATATCGCCGTGGTGAGACGATGTACTTTGTGTGAGGTCTGTTGGAGACGTTGAGCGTAGAACCTCCTGATGGCTGTAGTGTTTCCGAGGGTTGTTGGATACGTTAGGCTTGTGCAGCGTAGGGTCAAGTAATGGAATGCGATGTAGGAGGCAAGCAATGATGACTCGTAGTAGTTGTTGGAATATAAGAGTGATGTATTTACAGATGATGTTGACTATATAGGCAGTCCGCTAGAAGTCTAGCAGGTACTAATAACAACATAAGATGGGTCTTTCTTCAGTAGTTAGGTGTTGATGGCTTGTAGTAGGCAGATACCAATGATATGTAGCAGGCAAGTCGTGATAGCTTGTTCAAGAAAGAGGGGGCTATTAGCATTCTGTACAAAATCTGAATTCAGAATGTAAGTTTGGTCATGGGCACTGGATCTGTGCCACAGTTGTATTGGGCGAGGTCAAGTGTCCCTCCTGTTAGACTGAACTCAACTCAAAGGCAAAACGTATCCTGGGGTATTCTTCGTGCTTTCTCCCAACGTATAGGAAAGCAGTACCAAGCGAGTATTCTGAGTATACCGTGTGACTTCCTCGACATACGAACGTTAGCCAGTAGCATCCCCCTCCGCTTCCCCATCATCATGCCCAGCACCACCTCCCTTACTCTTGTACGCCTTAAACGCAGTACTAACAATATCCCCCGTACCATCCCTCAACCTCCTCACCTCGACAACCCCACTCTTCTTCCTCAGCACAACGCTATAAACCCCCTCATCCACCACAACCCCCTTCAACCACCCCAAAAACTCCGTCGCAAAATTAATACACACATTCCCATCCCAACAATTCGTACCCCTGCGCACCATGCCAGGAAGCTCATGCGTATTGAACGTCTGCAGCCCCCTTAGTATTCCAGCTTTACTCCTGAACCCCACAGTGATCTTGGGTACACCGAGTAAGAAAGACTGAGCCCAGAACTTGAGTAACTTGCGTTCGAATTTGAGAATGTCGCGGTGTTGTTGCTGGCGGGGTGGAGGAAGTTCTTCGCTGGTTTTCAGTTCGACCCATTGGATAGGTTGCTCTGAATCTGATGGTTTCGGTGCGAGGAGGCCGTCTACTTCGCCGCCTAGTATCAGACTATGAGGCCCGAATGATGTGTGTACTATAGAGCAGTGTTGGGCGGCGTTTGATACGACGCCTTTTTGGTGCTGTGCGATTTCCTCGCGAGGCGTGGAAGAGGGTAGAGTGGGTATGAGGGTGAGTTTCTCAAACTTGTAGCCCCAGTATGTCATCATTTCGCGGGATTGCTGGTCTGGGTGTTGGTTGTAGCGAGGCGGAGGACGGGAGCTCTCTGCGGCCCGATCGGCGGCGCGCGAGGGAAAGTCTTCTTCGATGTAGATGGTGCCGTCGTGGAGGGTTGCGAACATGCTGAATTCGGCAAAGTTGTCAAAGGGTGCTGTCATGATCTGGGACGTTGTTAGTAACTCTTCCAGATTCAAGCAGCAGCAAGGTAAGAAAGCTGGATTCGCTTACCTTGCCATGTTGTAGGCCAGTCTACTTCAACATACCTTTGTCATCATGCCTCGCCAGGTCATGAAGTCGGCTTTCACCTCTTCCTTGCCCGTCTTGTCTTCCATAAGCGCCCGAAGCAGACTGTCTAGATGAGGATCTTCCTTGTCCTCATAGTGTTTGAAAGTATCGAAGCCCTCCTTCAGATCTGCGCCCATGGGTGGCGGTATGTAGTAGTTGATGCCCGACTCATCTGGCTGGTATTCGTGGTTGTCGTCGTAGGAGAAGTGGGCGACTTCGCGCGGACGCTTTATCTTGGCTGACGCGCCGTGGAAGCGATTGAGTGGCTGTATGGAAAAGCGATGGATCGGAGTGTCAGCTGCTGGAGCCTCGATCTTGGGGGCCGGCATGTCTGTATTCGTCGCTGTATCCGTCGCGGTAGTTGAAGCTGGAGCTGCTGCTTGAGGAGGCGCGCGGGTTCTGGGTCGTTTGCGAGGCGGTGATCTATCTCCTACATCTCTGGGTGGACTTGGCGAAGGCGAAGGAGGGTCTCGTGAAGCCATGGCTGGTTCTGATTCGGCCGACGCGTTTGTGCGCTGGCAATGTCGCACAAGACGCTCTAAGCTTCGCCGCGGGGGTGTCGCCATGCCAGAACCCCAGCTGTCGCCGCCCCACCGAACGGTACCTGACTAGCTACGGCGCGCCATCCGTGCCATCATTTCACAAACACTACCGACATCAACATCAAATCAACATCGAGTCAACCTCAACCTCGACCTCACTCCACGTCCCGTCCTCCAACACCCCAAACATAATATCCCCTCTACTCCCCAACAACACCCTCTACTTAATACAAAATGGACAACCGCGCAATACGTCTCCCACCAACAACCCGGCGCAACATCTTCGCCTCGCACACCGCCCAAAACCCAGACCAGCGACAACAACCACAACACGCACCCGTACGTCGCCAAAACGGCGCCGCACCCTCGATCCGCCCCGACAGCCGCGAAATAGAAGCCGACATCTTCAGTTCCTCCGCCGACGAAGATTTCGTCGAGCGCGACGCCCTAGGCGAATACATAGTCAAGGCGCCAACGCCCGTGTACCGCGACATGGGCGTCGGCAGCGAAGAGGACGACGAGACTGGTATGTCGGTTCCTGTCGCCGTCTTACTTACTGGCATCTTGTACTTTTGTCTCTTCTTCTGAGTCTCTGGGTGGCATGGTGACACATGTGGTACACGCGATGAGGCGAAAAACAAACGCTGACTTGTGCATTGCGGATAGAGCAGGAGAATCAAGTCATCAATCTCTACGGCAAGACGAATGCGCAGTGGGATATGGAGGCTGTGGAAGAGGAGATTCGGGCTGCGCTGAAGAGTAGCTTGAAGAAGAAGGTTGGCAGTTTGGAGGATGATAGGTGGATGTTTGAGGGGGAGGGGGAGGGGAGGAAGTAGATTCTGTGGTGTCTTGTTGGACGTGGATGAGCGTAATGGAATGACGCATTTAATCGTATGATACCCCTGTATACATAGTTCGTTTCTGGGAATTGAGGCATGACTTTGTGAATACGGTTGGGTATGAGCTCTAATGATATGATCAGGGTGGGCCGCGCATGTCGTCGTGATACTTTTGTGTTGGATTTAACGTTGAAAAGTGATATGTTGCTGTACCTCAGCTGCATGTTATCTGTCTGCATACATGCCAAGGTCACCTTCGTGTGCAGGTATTCGGTATAGATCTCGAGGTGTAACGCGGAACTATAGTGTACTGTATTCGGCGATATCCGTTTCATGCACTGGCGCATCTGGGTAGGTGACTTCTACTTGACGAACATATGAATGTGGCGACTCGCAGTTGCTCAGCGTGGAGACATTGTCTATTTCAAGGAGGTATCATAACAAGCATCCAGCTATCGAGTTTCGGCGACGTAGTACTAACGACGTACCTTCTTTTGTAGGTACTTGATGTACTTTGCGAGATGTATCGCTATGTAACATGGGATTATGCAGCCACACATGTGTTTCTGAACTGGTAAACCTCAACATGTCACTTCCACTTGATGGACACATGGACTTGGATCACTCATAGTCACTCAACACAGCATGTTTGTCAGCTTCCAGGGACCATCATGAGAAATCTATTCGCGGGCTTACGCTCATCGTCGCTGCCGCTCCTACTGAACCCCCAACCTCAGTCCCAATCCAACCACCACCCCAAACTCCTACCGAAAAAAAAACAGACCCAGGGTATCATATCAAAACACATTTATAAACGCCGTTTATCCCCTCCTCACCGCCGCCAGAGCTCAAGCACTGGTATCCATCACTGAAGAAGAATTAGCAAATGACTCAAACCCACAACCAACAACATATGAACTTACAATCCCCCTCGTCCTCCGGCGTATACGCATCTCCGCCATACGCCCTCCCGGCCCAATGCACCGCAGCAATCAAGACGTCCAGCTCCGCGGCCAGCACGTCGAGCTCCGCCTGCTCCTCCGGGAAGATTGTCTCCCCAAACGCCATGTACACCGCCATGCGGTCGTACTGCGCAATGGCCATTTCCTCGAGGCCGCGGAAGAAGAAGTAGAGGACTCGCCTCTCGTGCGAGTCGGAGGCGAGGGGGTACTCGTCAAACTCCCGGAGGGAGTCGGCGCGGAGATCGTTCATGTTGATGGTGAATTCCATCTTGTTGTTGTTGGTGGTGGTGGTATTGGGAGAGGAATTGTAGTAGTATAGTAGTGTAGCAGCAGCTTGAGAAGATTGTGATTATGGAAATGTCTTGCTGGTGCTGGTTTGGTGGTAGGAGCGCGCTGATTTCGACGGTTTATGTTGTGGTGCCAAGACCACCTTTGGCGACGGTCTGGCTTCGCTATTGATGAACCAGCGTATTGGATCGACAGTGACTGCGTTGTACAAGTTTCTTGCGAGTACCCCGTCCTGCTAACCAGGAAGTCCTTCCGCCTAATGTTTGTTGTAGGGTGTCTGAGCGACACATATATCCACGAGGGCGAGGCTCCTACACCACCAGGGATATCCTCAAGACAGCGACGCCTTTCGACGAGCTCATATACAACAAAAGGTATCTGCCAGACCTCTCCAGTGATCCGCCTTCTTCCTGCCATTTCCTTCCTCGTATACGCCCCAAGCCGCTCCGCAAGCGCCCTCGACCGTACACGACGGCACCCAATTAGACTTGAGAAAGGTACAACAGCAACAGACAGAGGCACACAAGTAGGAGGAGACTATATTGAAGAAAGATGAAGAGGTTGTTACGCCTGCACAACAGCCCTCAAGTCGTGGGTGCGTAGCAGTCGAATTGAGCGGTGGAGGGTACGCGGCGTCTATCTTGGCGCTGCTAGCCTTGACAATTCATATTGTATTGCTCCAATTCAAAAGCAGCGCCGAAAGCTTGAGACTGACTGAAGAGAAGCTGCGTAGAGTTGGGTTTATACTTGGGTATAGTAAGGGAGAGATAGGACAACGGATGTCAGAGCGGAGGGTACGACCTGGAAAAGGGAGGCGCAGTAGATATGTATAATGGCGAATTCTTATTTCGCAGAGCAGTCAACCCCTTGAGGCGTACGGTCTGATAATGCTGATTGTGATGTTTCTACCGCGCCATGGTTCAGTCGCTCCGCCTGTTAGACTCAAGGCGCTGAAGGCAGATGGAGGATACAGACAAGTAGACGAACACCTAGCAGGAAAGGTGCGTGAAAGGGGCTGCTGGCTTTTCGAACTGCGCAGTCTCATCTCCGGGGTCATGTTGCTTTGTCGTGCGGTGTATCTGCCTACTTCTGGAGTTCCACAGTCTCAAGCTGAGGGTCGTGATGGTCTCGTCGCGCAAGTCCCTGGACCCTGGAGTTGAGGCCCTGGAGGAGCCATTCGGCAGCCCCAAGACGGACTGTCTGCGTCGCTCATGTAATGACTGTGAGTTGCTTGGTTCGTCTCGTGATGCTCAAGTACAGCCTAGAGGCCTTTGTGCACTTCTATATCACTCAGATCGCCATGAAGGAAGTCGCGAGTGCCTTTAGGTCTTGTTTTCGCGCCGACCTTTGCTGGTGCGCTGTCTGAGAGGTGGCCTTGCCGTGAATGTCCCATACATACTACCGTTCAAACTACATTCCTGGATGACGGGATTTTCCAGAGTTCTCGCACCTGCTATCGCGAGTCGCGACTGCGTGGTCCTGGCCCTTTTGGCAGCCGCGATGCGCTCTCAGCGGCAGATCTCACCACGAGCTGCCGTCTCTGCTGCTGGACTCCTGGTGGCGCTGGAGGTGATCACAACCCCTTCATTCCAGGTGTCCACAAATATTGCCTCAAGCCACGAATCTGTACCTTCGGTTCCTTTGGCGATTCTTGAGCGCCGCGAATAGCGGCGGTCATTATAGAAGACCTGATTTCGGCTGGAGAGCCCCCCTCCGTGTTTGGGATCATTTTTCACCCCAGAAATGCAAATAACCGTATCTGAACTCCCGTGAAGTTGCTTGCGCGCTGGAAGTCGTGATTGTCTACCCAGAAAGCTCAGCGGTATTCCCACGATCTCCGCCTCTGACTATGAAGTTTCTCATTATCTTTGTAATAGTCTTCAACTTCAGCTCTGCAAAGCACTATGCCCATAATTCTGTGAAGCTTGCTTGCGTGCTAGAAGCCCTTCTTGCCTACGTGGCGGGCTCAGCGTCACCGCCGCGGTCTCTTACTTCACACATGGCAGCGGAGTTTCTGAGGTGAGATTATATTTGCTCGGTTTCTCAAGCTTCTGTGTCGCTTTCCTGCGATTGTATCGTCTTCAAGCAGGTTGACACTGAGTTTCCAGCTTTGAGGTTGCTCTTGCGGCACCGCTTCAACGTGCCTTCCCAGAGTGACTTGGATTCCCTAGACGCTCCCACAAGCAGCAGCAACTTCCTCGATGATGTGATGACACGCTGAAGGTCGCGATTAAGAATCGCGCTCTCGCACCGCCTCACGTTATCTCACGCGGTTGCAGCTCACGATGTGCATGTGCCAGACTCATATGCTCTCCACAGTCATTGCAAGATCCATCACCATGCTTCCAACGCGTGTTTGAGTGACTTCTCCACCCTCCAGTCATTGAAGCTTGGAGAATCTTTTGACGTCCAAAGGTCCATATAGCGATCTGATACAGCCACAAGAATTTTACAACAGCTAACAGCACCCCTATCGAGCTGGATTTCGCTGTGATCATCTTACAGCGCCATTATCACACGCTCTCACGTTCCTGCTGCGCCTTCCTTCGGCTTCTACCCGCGGAGACTTCTGCCTGACGCTCCTGCCATGCCGGCACCCTCCGCAGGGCGGTCAGGCGTCTTGGACGACGCTAGAAAGTGGTGAGTGGGGCCTCACGACAGGTGAGAAATAGTTGAAGTATGGGAACTTCAAACCCAGGAGGTGTTTTGCAACTGAGATGCATCCTCAACTCCATTGAAGCCACATATACTTGGCTAACTAAAGTTGTAGAGCTCGACAAGCGCTATCTCGTCGTGCCCAGCTTGGTCTTGTGCGGGTGGTGGTTCGCTGGGTTTTGTGGGATACCCGTATACACTCGTCTTGGTTCGTCCATCAACGTTCGCTCCGAGCTCGTCCATCGCAACCTCCTTTTTGGTACGCATCTCCATATCGTGAGTGATGAGTCCTTTGTCCTGGAATACTGCCGTCGCCCGCAGTAGTGCCAATCACCTGACCTCTGGAGCTGCGGCGCCGATGGGAGTATATAAAGAGCCCACCCCTCGCTCCTTCCACCTCTTTTCTCCCCCATCCACACACCAACACCCTCACCTTGACAGACTCCTTGCTTGAGCTTTGCCAATCTTCCAACTCTTGCACATCCCCTTTACATCTTCACACTTGTCTCATACCAAGACCTTTCAACAACATCTCATCATGTCTCATCACTCCCCTCAATCATCCTCTGCCAATGGCCCCCCCTCTTCACCCTTCGGCGGCACCAACCCTACTGTATATTCGCCAGAGGCTGACCGCAAGCCGCATCATCGTCGTCGGCTCACCGCCATCGCTCCTGGTCAACAAGTTCCCAAGAACTTCCTTCCTCAAGCTCAGATCTACATCGAGGGTGCCTTCGTCGATGAGTTCCTCCAGGGTGATCCCGCCTACGTCTCTCGGTACCATCACGTCCAAGGCGGAGCCGACATTGATCATCTCCAGTTTCTAGTTCAGTCTCAGATGCGACGTGTAAGTTGTCTCTGCCTCCATCCATCATGTAACATACTGACCATCTCTAGTATGCTTGCTTCTTGCATGCTATCCCCTTCAAACATGAGCACTCTTCGACAATGTATGTTCGTTACGACACAGTCTCCGATGCTGCCGAAGGCAAAGATATTCTCCTCCAGGCCGGCCTCTTCGTCAACTACGTCTCGATTGTCGACTTCGCCAATGCCCAGGGCAAGGACACGGGCAAAGTCAAGGAGTGCGAAGGCCAGATCACCTTGTCAGTGTCGATTGAACCAAACCCCGATCATGCCATCTGGGAGTTTACCTCCGAGGACCTCAACAGCGTTACCAAGAACATTGAGACCATCGCCAAGGTCTTTGGTCCGGTTCGCAATGTCGTCCACGTTGACACCCTCAATGACAAGATGCATCTCGTATTCCGGATCGAGTTTGACTCTGTCGATGCTGCCCATCGAGCGATCCAGTCTTTGCGTAAAGACCCGGTCTACGGTCTGAACGCTGATGTAAGTGTTCCATCTCTTCTTTCTTGCATGTAATCATTCTGACTTTCTCGCAGGAGTCCTTCTACTGGACCACTGACGATGTTGGCGGCTGGCTTAGTGAGCGTCTGCTGAGCCCTCCTCGATACCTCCCACGCATCGACAACCAGGGCCAGTTCTTTCCAGGCACTAATACTTCACCCACCCGCCGCTCTTGGTCCAGCCCCTACAACCAGGCGACGCACCGGTCCAGCCACCATCCGCATGATCAGCACAACCGTGTTCGCCGTGAGCGCATTCTCGATGGCAGCGACGTCCGCACTACGGTGATGCTTCGCAACATTCCGAACACGCTCGACTGGGTATGTTTCTTCTTCCATCATCTTCATGAACGCTTGACTAATCTCTCTCGCAGATGGCCCTCAAGAACATCATCGACATCGCCTGCTTCGGCACGTACGACTTCATCTATTTACGGATTGACTTCAAGTCCGGCTGCAACGTGGGCTATGCCTTCATCAACTTCACCGACGCGAACGGCATGCTGATGCTCATCGACCGCATTGAGCGTCGATTCTGGCCGGGTTTCAAGTCTGACAAGGCTGCTGAGATCTCGTATGCGACCATTCAAGGCCGCGAGGCTCTTATTCAGAAGTTCCGGAACTCCTCGGTGATGCAGGAGACCCCGTTCTGTCGCCCTCGTCTCATCATCACCTACGCCGCGGCAGAGCAGATGGATCAGATCCGCCTTACTGGCACTGAGGAGCCCTTTCCTCGTCCTGACAACATCTCGAAGTTGCAGCGCTCGATGGACTCTGCGCGTTCCACTGGTCTTTACCCTCCTCGTGGCTACTCTTCCGGCACCGAATACCGCAACCGCTCGAGCGCTTACGACCGCGGCAGCCCCCGCGACATGATCCAGGCCGCTATGCATTTTGCGCACCAGCACGCTGCTCCTGTCCACTTTGCTGGCTTGACAGAGGATCAGAAGCACGACATTGAGGCCTGGTACCTGAACACCTTCGGCGGCGGTCAGCGTGGTGCTATCGGCTTCGACTTCATCCCGATGACCCATATCACTCAGTACTTTCACGACCATCCAGGTGCTGTCGGCAAGGTCGCTGGTGCTCCTTCTCATCTTAGTCGCATCATGAGCCCTTGGCGCCCGGTTGCTCTCCAGCACTTCTCCACGATGGGCCAGCAAGTTCCTCGCCACCACTTTGGCCGCGCCTGGTAAACTTTGTTCGCTCACTGTCGCGCATCGTTGCAACATCTGTCCCGACCAGACCTTGCACAACGATTACACCATTTCCATCACTTTCTTCAATTTGTTCCCAGATGTTGCCAGACTTGCTCGGTATGGCTTTTGACACACACTATCGAGTGTATGTCTTCTGGGTCGGTTTCGAAGCGATTTGTTCAAGATGTGGATGGTTGACAGTTTGAGACGATCTGACTGGATGATGGATGCCACTGATGAACACTGAATGTACCTAATGTTTGCTTTTCTTCAAATACAATGATCATTGATCGCCATACTTGTTCCTTCTATTGCATCGTGACTTGTTCTTGTTGTCGTTGCTGTTAGCTTGAGGTCGAAGTCGAAGTCCATGCCAGCGCCGCGCTTGTACTGGGTTGGAACGGTTTGCTTGACAATATCGGGGTACTTGGAACCGGAGTTACTGGGAACGTTCGGAAGACCGCTAACGACGGTGATCCCTTGGCCACCAGTGGAATGGATATCGTCAGCCATAGGGAAGGTGCCAGTGAGTTGCTATGCCTTCTAACGACTCCATTACCCCACTGAGTGTCGGTATTGCCAATCGACCTCGTCTTCCTGTCTGCAATCGTTGTTGGTGAGCTACCAGGTACGGTTGCTACCAGATCTCCAGCTTTGATAGCCATGTTGGTGCTGAATGTTGACTTGACAAAAGGGATGATGCTGGTGCTTGGGCTTTTGCGCATCTGCACTCCTTCCCCCAAAGGCCACCGCCAGCTAAAGAAGGAAAGCTGGCGAGGTAGGAATTGTGCGTGTGAACTTTGAGGAGACACCTTGATGTGCGTATAACGTTCCGACCGCGTACAATGGTGTGTATTGCGTTCTGACCGCCTATAATAATGCGGATTAGCATTAGAGCATGCTGGAAGGTACCACGTTCTTCCCGCCGTCGGGAATCTTGATCTTGAGGGTCTTTCGAGCCCTAGTCTTCTCGCCCGTATTGCTCTTCTTGCTTGGAGTCAGCCTGCTACTGAAGCCTACATCGATCTTCTTCGAGAGAGTAGTGGTCGCGTCACGGTAGCGGACGTCACTCCGCGCTTCTGGGTGCTTGGGGGACCGATGCGACCAGGAGTAACTGGGAACCTTGGATAAGTTGACGCCGGCGTGGTCAGGTACATTGATCCCATAGTGCCCGTGAGCTGATCTGAAGTAGGCGTCATCAAGTTGGGGAAACCGGAGGCCATGTTACCGAGTAGTAGAACCAGGAGTTGACCTGGACCCGGCAGTGGCTTCTCCATGGGATGCTTGAGCAGTCCCTTGCCTATGTCGAGAATGTCATACTTGACAAAACCTTCCAACTCATCGTCTTTATGCTGCATCATATCGGTAGCAGTGATGTCGTCAGCCTCCTTGATTCGGCTGCGGAATGACTCTTCCCAATCGTCGCCGTACTTGTCTTTGCCATTGTCGGTTCGACAATGCGTCGTGTATTGCGTTCTGACCACCCAGCAGGTAAAAACAAGTCCCTGTAGTAGGGTCTATTGCGCTCTGGCCGCCCAGACCATAATCATGCATGTCGATTCCAACATCGCCGTAGCATTCTGAGGCTGCCCATAGAAGCTGTCTCCGCAACTCAGCGTTTTATCCGCAGAGATGGAAGTGAACGGAGTCAAGTAGCTGATCAACGTCATAGGCAGGACAACCCAGATGACCACGAGACAAAACGCGAAGAGGTCATGGAAGTGGCCGGTGGCTAGATGAGTTGGTAGCGGAAAGGCTTCCTGGAGGCCTTGCTGCGAGAAGGAAGATGAATCCAACGGGTGAATACCGGACGAGGCTTAGCATAGAAGCAAGCGTTCTTGCCAAGTTGAACGGAGTGCTCGTGGAAGTACTGGGTGATATGGGTCATGGGAATAGCTCCCGATACAGCAGGAGGCTTGCTGTACCAGACGGTGCCTCTTCGCCCTGCATTCCAATGGATCATTTCCTTGTTAAAATGCAGACGAACCTCAGAACCAACATCACCCACATTGTCGACTTCACGTATCACGACAAAGAGGTTCTGTAGGTTCCGAGGTTCGTGAAGGCTGATCTTTGCGCGGATACTGCATAGCTCGATGTGCAGCATCGACCGAGTCGAACTCGATGCGGAATACGAGGTGCATCTTGTCGTTGGATGACACCAACATAAAGGTATACGCTCAGTCTCTTGTATTTGAGAGAGCGTTGTGATATCGTACACGGAATCGTAAGCTGAGCCAAGAGTGCTCAGACAAACCAGGAGGGTGTATGGGCTCTGCGTACGTCGTCGTAGGCCGTATCGACGGCATTTTAGGCGTCATCCCAAGCCGCACCGGCGTGGCGGAGCATTCGGATGGGCAAGCTGAGCAGTGGCAGCTTGATCAGCCTCGGACGAAACAAGAAAATCCTCATGTGAGTCGTTACTGACGAAGTCATACTCAGCATGGTCGTTGACATCCTCCTCGTAGTTATGTGCCTCCATCTTCTTGATATACTTGTCAAAGTCGAAGTCCATGCCGGCAGAGTGCGTATCCTGCACGACTGAGGAGCTCCGAAACCAACAGTGTGATTTGGCCTTCGAACTCCTGACTCTGCCAGTGTCCTTCCCCTGGACAGTGGTGAAGTTGGCAAGGGAAAGTTCAGCTTTGTGCTGCCAGTATTGGTCCTTATCACCTTAAACACCCTGCATTTTTGGTTGTTGTTCTTGATGATAGCTCCCTGGCCAAGAAACTGGCCGAATGATGAGACATTTTGAGATGTTGTGAAAGACTCGCGTGCTAGAACAAGTGCCCTTACGAAATCTTGACCGGCAAAGGACATCTGGGACTGAACCAGAAACTGGAGATGATCAATGTCGGTTCCGCCCTGACATGACCGTGTTGATATATCCATATTGAATCTTACGGTATCTGTGTTCTGCTTACTGGTTCTAGCCCCAACAGTTCGTAGGTTCCGTTGTTGACGTTGTGGAAAGGTCGTGTGAACAGGGTAGGTGGCGTAGATATTGTCTAAGAGATTGACTGACATACCACACACCCCTGGTTAGCACCGACAATATGGCAAGACATGCAGAAATGCCTATGAAGCCGTGCGAATCTTCAGCAAGACTTCTTTTGACTGTAGTGGCTGCAAGTTGGTGCGATGCAGTAAGGCTTGAGGCTTGTTGTGCAGTAAACGACCGCTTCCTTCCCTTCTCAGCTACTGGGCAACACCAACAAACCCAAAGGATAGCCCGAAAGCTACACTGACGTCTTGCAGCGGACTCTCAACTGATTAAATGCCGCTGTATCGGTTTGGCAGAGCAGAATGTCACTCAAAAGCCGATTTGAAGTGAGGCGGGAAGAGATGAAGCGTAAAAAGCGAGCTCTGAAGCAGGCTGACTCTTTACACCTCTATGACATGATGATCCATATTTCGTGACACTGCATCGTGTTGTGGAGGAAGGAGCTGCCAGGCCTCCTGACCCTTGTGAAGGCCTATCTCAGGGGCTTCAGGCTTAGAGCACGCAACACCGTGTATGTAGAATGAACACCTACAGCTTTGATGCTACGTCCCTTATCAAAGTCTAAGAGATCACCATCCAAGAGACTTTCGGCGTCTAAATGGCTCTGATATCGCAGATCGTGTGTTCTCGTTGTTGAACTTGTAGCTAACTTGATGTTTTACAAGCCTCCCTCTCCATTCCCAATCGTGGCAGTTGTATGCTGTGCCCCGATTTATGGGCAATGGATTGACCTCCTCAGGAGTGACTGTATAGCTCCTGGGGATTCCATTTTTTTTGCGTGCACCATGCTGATCTCTCTCGTTGGCGGATACTGCGAGGACGCAGAATCTCGGAGTGGTGCGCACGGGCCATAGCAGCGTATCATGAAGTCCGTTATGGTGTAGCAGCTGGCTTCCACGACTTCACCAGCGACAACAGCATCACACACGATCCTACTTGTTGCCAAATACCACAAGCACACAAACACTTCTACAAGACACCACTCGGCCACCAGAAGCCAACAAGATGACGCCCTGCGAGAAGCGGGTCTGCTGCGAGATCACCGAGGCCTACAAACCTTGGGTCAAGGACGGCGGCGTGAAGTGGCTGTTCCGCGACGCCTACACACGCGTGGGAGGTCGCTGGGCCATCTGGTCCAAGAAGGACATGGACGCCATCAAGTGTAGTCGCATGAGAGCTGTTGAGGCAGCTCGGAAGGGCACAAGGTACGTTCCGACTTCGAAGAGCGTCATCAACAGCACCCCACGAGGCTACAGCTATCCTGTGGCTAGCTGATTTTCAGCCAGTGATCCTACGAAGACTTTCGCGCTTCTCTATTGTTGAGAGCGGTGTCGTATGTTTGCTGCGCAAAACGGGCTAACAGATTACGCAGGAACACCACCGACTCCTCCGAAGACCGCCGCGAACTTCAACAGAAGTTCCAGCAGATTGGCGTACCACCAGCAGCATATTTCGCATAGAGGATCAGCTCGGCGGGCGGCGAAGCGGGGAGCAGGAAAGAACCCAGACGAGGCCAACGGGGCAAACGGCGACGCCATGGACATCGACGGCAGCGCAGCAGAGCAGGCCACGCTGAAAATGGAAACATGAAGAAGCGCAGTACTTTCTCTCTTGCTGTGATGACTATACTGACACAGCAAGCAATCGCGTACACAGGACTCATCCGCCGGCCGGGTGTGACCATCGACAGCGAATATTTCGGTCTTCGAAGACCTATTACGGTCCACACGACGGACGAGCCGTGGCTGTCAACGAGACGATTTCGTACGACGACACGGAGCTGATCGGCTTAGCTCTTTCGATGATGGTTGCGACCAGCGCAGCGGTCTGCGGCGTCATCATGGAGCACACCACCGCTTCATCCGCCACGAAGGCCGGTAGTGCGAGCATCCTGTACGGCGATAAGACTTGAGCGATAACCGAAGAAGACGGATGGTCGGTTGATGTGGTTGCAAGAAGGAGGGTGGTATCCGGCTTCGTCGGCAGCGTCGTCTGATGTTCAGACTGACGAAGATGGCGCACACTAGCCAGTACCGAGCCCCTGAGTCAAATCAGGTACGCTATTGAGCGCCATGCTTAGCTGCAGACGCCTCGCGCCGCAGATCATAACATGGCGGATGCTATGCATGGTAACGAGTTTCTGGCAAGCGTCTTGACCCTTATCCTCCGGAAACAACTCCTAGTCGAACGGCATCTGCGTCGGGCAGGGTCGAGTAGACTTGAAGCTACCATAAGCTGCAGGAATGGTGCCGCCGGGCTCAAGGGGTGCGCGCAAGTCCGCGTGTGGACGTCTAGACACCCTGTTGAGTGAGCAATGTCCAGCGTGGCGGTTTGACAGCCTCAACCCAGCTCTGAGTTCGGGCTCGTGCACAAGGATCGTATACGCACTTTCTGGAAGTCGCCCAGAAAGACATGGCGTGTGCCCGCGCCAGCGCTCTCGGGAACTGACTGAACCCAACTGATCGAAGCCAACGTAGACGACTAGTGCGTACGTCTGCCCATTCTGCTTGGAACGCGCGAAGGCGGGTACGGCAACGTCCGGATGTCACAAATTGCAGCCTGGTGTTGCAACGCATGCAGATTTTACTATTCTCGAAGATATCCAGATCGGAGTTGAGACACTCTTGGTGTTGTCAACTGGAAGACTGTGCACTGCTGTTGAGAAGGAACAATCTTCAGCCACTAAAATGATGACGGCTTGTGAAGACATCCGTCTTTGACTGGCCTCAATGCCATCACGAAGTGCGACTAGTAGGAAACATGCTATGAGGATACCTTTTCCAGCATGGATGCCGGATTCAAAGCTGCGCATTGAATGTTTCTGCATCGCTCATGACGCTCGCCGAGCTTGGAGCTTCAGTGCCGTACCGAACGCACATCTTGTTATCGAGCCGAAGACGAAAACGACAGTGAGAATATCAAAGAAGATGTCTACCGCTGAGGGCGAAAGCGCTGCTTTGCAAGTGGGCCGGAAAGCACCGTAGCCGACTTGAACCAGAGCAGATGTCTTTCGTGTTTGCTAACTCCCAGCGATGATTCCTTGTAACAGTGCAAAGGTTGACATTAGCCATGACGTCTCAGAACAATGATGCTACTGATGGCCTGACTAACACCATGCTCTTTTAGTTCATCTTCAGTCGCTCATTGCTGTGAGGTTTGCGTCTATGCTACGGTAGCACCGGCATGACAGCGCGCCCTGCAGCTCAACGTCGTCAACTTCCTGGGGACCAACGCAGCTTTTAGACGACAACGGTCGTTATTCTCAAGGCGCCATGGCTCTCGAAAGTCTGATGCTCTATGGTAGTCTTTACGGAATTACTGGGATATCCGTCGAGCTCGATGTCATGGGCCGAAGTCACTCATAACCCGAGCATCAAAAGCACCAGGCGAGTGTTGCGAGGTCGGAGATGGGTCCCTACAGGATCCGCATATTTCGTTAATTCGACGCGCCAACGTAGTACCCTAGAACCATTATGATGCTGGTGCAAGATTGCAAGAGTAATCCGCAGAAGGCTCCTATGGTTCATGGCGAAGCACGAGGAACCTGCGAGAGCAGCGTGAACCCAAAGCAACTTTGAGTATGTCCGGTAATGTATGCTGCGGCTTTGGAGGCAAATCCCTGGGAAACGACAGTGGAGTAGTCGCACATCGAGCAGGTGTCAGATCTCGATACATCTGTAAAGATGCTGCCACCATCAATAACGTCAGGCGTTCAGGTGACCCATGTCTGCTGTTGTGCCTCTCTCTAGCAGGATGTCACATGCTTTGTGCACGCGATATTGCTGTGCATATCCCCTTGTCTCTCACCATTTGAGACATCGCAATAGAAGTGTGTCATCGACGTACAGGCGATTTGTCATGGGACACGCTGCAGACGGTTCATACAGTCGTGGGTCAATACGCATCCGCAAAGGTTCGACCGCTTCGCAATGTTGTACGTCCGGGGTATACATCCGCGGGGTTGAGGACAGATATCCGAGATCGAGGTATCTGATTATACTCGTCGCTTCGAGGCATTGTATGCAGCAAGGATTGTTTGCTTCGACATCGGGTGCTTGCTGGCCCCGGAGTTTTGGGTAGTACGACGGCGACGGAGAGGATTCCTGCATGGATCAAGGAGACAAGGCGCTGCTGTGTAGAGCCAATGCTTTTCAAACATGGTCATCCAATGTTGCTTACCGTGGTGGTGGTTGTTGCTTGTCTTTGGGGCGGCGGAAGTCCGCTTCAGCAGGTCGCCAAAACTACCCACTTTAGACACGGCGCTGACATGGGCAACGGCAGCGGCCTTCATGCAGCTTCCTCGGTTTGATTTCAGGCGTGTTTGGAGAGACACGTTCGCCAGGTTCGTCGTCGCCGTGCATGGCATGGCAGGGTGACCATTGCCTCCCGAAAAGCCCCTAGGTTGCCAGCGAAGCAGCCGCGGACCGCGCCAGGCACAGGGCAGCTGGGTGATTGCAGCCCTCCGTCCAAAGCCTTGTTTGTGTAGGTGTGTCGATCTTCGAAGCTCTCGTCGTTATGATTGAGGCGTTACGATATCAATGCTTCGGGGGTGTGCCTCGATGCGCCGGTGAAGCCTCCTCAGTTAAGGCTGATGAGGATGTCGTAAAACGTACGCGGTTTATCGAAGTAAGCCCAAGCAACAGGGCAGTGCTCTTCATCGGTCCTGTTGTGGGTGATGTGGGTTAGAGGGGTCAAAAGTTGGGCTTGTCGCGCGTCTGTGTCCATGCGCTGGCTGGCGAAGATGTCGCAGGCCGAGTCAATCAAAAGGGCCTCTATACCATCGACAGCTTGCTCTGGACTTGCTGAGGAAGCTGGAAAGCTTGCGAGAAGACTTCTCATTGCCTGTGTTGTGGTTGTGGGTTGTTAGCAAAGACAAAGCTTGCGTCGGGAGTCCGCCTCGAGCCGCCAGCAAAGCTACAGTCGATCACGACCATGGCAGAGACCTTGCGGCGGACGAAGCTCTTCTAGAGATCATCAGATTCACGGTGATTCTGCCACTACCTTTGCGATGGTCCGAAGGTGGTGGTGTTGAAGCGGCGCGGGTACTTGCTTGGGAGAATTGAATCCCAGAAGCGCGCACCATGAGGCACCGCGCCTGACGAAGCTTCATCACCTCATCCTCTTGTTCACATGAGCTCGCTCCACTAGCTGCGTGAGTCTGAATGAGCGAGGGGTTGTGTTGAGTGTCATCGCGTTGGTGGTGTGGTTGAGGCAGTGTTGTTGAAGGAGGCTCGAAGCTTACCCACAAAGAATCTCAATATCGGAGCGCAAGACAAGGGGTCTGGACAGCTACCAGCCTCCCAGAATCGCGCTTGCAGCCACATGCAGTAAGCTCAACGGTGCAGAGGATATCGTTACAAGACTGCACGACATAGATCATTGAAGACAGGTCACATAACGACTATCGAGGTCTTCGAGGGTGATGTGACTATAGTGGGACTCGGCAAAGCCCTCGAATGTTTCTGTATGACCCTATCTACCTTTACCACACAGCTCGACGTTGTTTGTCCACTCCACGGCGCAACGTGTCAGATACAGATACACGACGGAATACTTCGCATGAAGACCTCAGCTTCCCCTATAATGGAAGACCTAGCTGAAGAGCTGTACTACTCTAGAAAGTGTCATCCGCATCCCCCACCAAGCCGCGTCCCTAGACTCCCCCTCCCGTAGGCTCGTAGCTTCCGACTCCGTTGTACAGGAGGACTCAAAGGTTTCGATATTACCTCAGACAACTCAAAATCGCTGCCCATAGCGAGACTCTCACCACTCAGGAGGAAAGGTGGGTAGTACCGTTGTCCTCGCGGCTAGAACATCTACCTCTCTCTAGGGCTTGACGAATGCTCAATGATGGCCGAAGAAGCATAAATAGCAACAGGGAGATCTCCAGACGTCCATCATCTATTCTATACCTCAAGCTCAGCGTTTGATCAACTACAGCGCACGTGTGCGTTACCTAGATTAAGCCAGGACTTGTCCCGTTGGTCGTCTTGTCACTTGACATCGCGCTCAGGAACATCGCGCCGAATTTCCAAGACCTCTCTCCTTGATACGCCGCAAAGACCCTTCGCTCCCTTTCATGTGCAAAACAACCTCACTTCTTTTCGTCTTCACCGTCACTTTTTCGTCTTACGGTCATCAGAAAAACTAGTTGTCCCAAGTCCGCGCGTAAAAATTTTCTCCAAGGTTCCCTTCCACGAAAGCATGCACATAGCCTCTACCGCGACAATCAAACACTACAATTATAACGTCATATTATATCCGAACCCCAGTTTGGGCACTTTCGCGCATAGTTGCTTGTATTGAACTTGTAATATTATCCTTCGTGGATACGACATTCAGTTCAACGCACGCACACACCCCATATCCGCGGACCTATACAGAACACGGCAGCGTACATCCGCCCCAAACCAACAACACACCAATTCCAAGACAGCAGCGCCTGTGTTTCTTCACGCTCTCAAAAATCCGCCTTACCCAGCAAATTTGCATTCCGTAAAATATCTCCCTGTCTACCCCAAAAATGGCAACAGCAACGTCCACCCTCCCACATCACCCACCCAACCCGTCAATCATGGCCTCATCTACCACTACTCCCACTCCGGTCATTACAGCAACAGTCTTGATGAAAGCATCTCCCCATGACATAGCCCAGCTGCACGACATCCACACCCTGCTCAACAACATCTTCGCGCGCAACCGAAACCAGCACCAACGCAGCACATGGTGGAAAAGTCTCCACGGATTCCGCAAGCAAATCACCCTCCTACTCCAAGACCTTCTGCACGGCCCCAAAAAAGAGCGCGAAGGCAAAATCGAAGCGCGTTTGAGGTTTTGGGATCGCGGAGCTGTGCATACGTGGTACTAGTATGTTTACCATTCTTATCCTTCCAAACCTGTTCTGATTCCGCTTGGAAGATGCATTGAGTTTAATGGATGCTAATTATTTCATAGTCAGTTTAGCCAACTAGTTGCCGTAGGACCGTTCGCCGTGCTTGGCCTCGTTATGATGGCGAGTGTAGCTCGCGTATGCAGAATTACCGGTATAACGGCTGTTTACGAGGAAATCGCTTCGAGCGATGTCAAAGGCGTTTTGAGCGCGAGTGATGAACTAGCCTTGGCGGATGAATTTAGTGGGGCATTGGACGAAGGGGAGGAGTGGGATGAGGGTGTTGTTGTTGCAAGGGAAGAAGAGGATGACGACGAGTAGATGGTTTGAGTCTCGTGTTTGAGTTCATGCATGTATATATACTATCAGCGACAGATATGGGACGATACCTGATGGCCAGGCCTGGCTGTCTTCACGGCGTTTGGAGAGTTTGTATCAAGTCATAGAATGTATTCGATGCTTTTCGCCTCACGTATTCCGTCGCTCTTCTTGCTGGTAAACCTTATGTGGATATATGCAACTCTCACTCTACCGAATACCGAACCTAGAACCTATAGTACCGAAGCGCTCCCTACCGGTGGTTACCGTTGGGCTCTGTGCTGCGATCTGTGCCCCCTCCTGTACCTTCTCAAGTAGGACGGCGCCCTTGATTTGGTCAACCTTACTGTACTTCTTGTTCCTTTGTGCGATGTCGTAGAACTCCAATTCGTTATCCGTGCCCATCAATGCTACAGTCTGTGTCAACTCGTCCAAATTCTCCATCAAGATAGGGTTGTTGAGCGAGCTGACAAATTCGCTCAGGAAGGTGGTATCAGCAGCTAAGGTGGCGACAGCAGCAGGGGAGATGCGCTTGATGTTATCGGCGAGGGGGAGGTCGAGGATGGCGGTGGAAGCATGTGACAATGCATCAAAGTAGATGAATTCCTTAATCTCTGTCGGCAGGGCTAGAAGCACCGAAGACATTATGTTGGAGAGATACCTAGTCAGCTCCAACATGTATGTCGAAGGTTCAGTCTGCGGTTTGGTAGCCATCCAATCGTACTCTGCTGTTTCGATCAAGTCGTCAATCTTGCTATTCACGAGCTCGAAGACGCGGTTTGAGGCGGTGTTCTTGGCTTTCGCGAAACGTTCCGTTGCCGCAAGGACGATAGGGCCTGTCGCTGATGGTGAAGAGCGCGCTTCGAAGAGCAGATCTTGTAGCTCCACACAAGCATTCTCGAAGTGTTCCAGATTAGTCAAGATTTGGACAATCTGTCCTGGATATTGACTGGCGAGCTTTTCTATGAGACTACCACAGACTTTCTCGCACAGTAGCTCATCCAGACTCATCCTCAACGTCTCATCAATGATACTACTCTTCTGGAAGTAGTCGTCGCTGAACAGGTAGATTTGATTCAAGAAATTCCGAATATCGATGCAACATAGCGGGTACATCTGAGAGAATGGTAGAACACATGGGAATGTGAGTGGTTCGTTGGAGGCCGGAGGGTTGTACCAGGATACTGAGACAACCTTATCATACTCTTCGCTCGAGTTGATCGGCATAGGCATGTAGTCGTCGGTGTGTACAATCTCGAGAAAGTCCTCGCTGAAGCGGTGTTTCAGGAGGGTGGAGTATTTGGAGAAGAGCGTTAAGAGAAGGTCGTTCATTGCAGATACGGAGTAGCCCCATTTCTGCGAATGTGGTTAGCACACGCAATGCAGTGATGATGTCGGGACGTCACGAACCTCCATTGTCAGCATAAAAAGCGCAATACGGCCCTTGATCTTTAGGAGCAGCTCGTCGTTCTCGACGGTGTGGAGTTGGCTAGTGATGAGATTGATGGCGCTTTGACACATTGAGTCCCATAATTCGTCGACCTGTACACGCGTTAGCGATGCTTTACGCAAGTGAGCAAGTTTTTCGTACATCAGCTTGTGACCGCAGGTTGAGAGTCTTCGACATAGTAGCCTTCTCGATGATCGCATAACCAGCGATGCTCTCTAACAAGCTGCTCAAGTCGCCGCACTCCTCATCCAGCAAGTTGAGCTTGTTCGGTATGATAAGGTCTTTCTGAGTTCTTCGATCCGAGGCGTACTCTAATCTGAATTGATCGCTCTTACCGAGCGTCTCATTGATGTGCATCGCCTCAAATAACGGCGAGAAGTCTGTCTCATTTCCAGCTTCCTCATTGTTTAGCACGTCGAACTCGTCTGTCTCATCGGCTACAAGTTCGATTGCTGAGTTCAGTTTGAACTTCGAGAAGCGTTGGTCGGCCTCGGCGCGCTCTTGGTTGCGCGTCCTCCGTACATCGGTGTAGTAGAACGAGACCTCTCCCAAGAATTGCGCCGACTCGCGAATGCGGTAGAGCCATGTACTCAAATCGTTCTTGACTGCTTCTCTGATCTGTTCTTGGGTTTGCGGTATAGATTTTTCGATCAAATTGGCGATCTTGAAGCGATTGATCTCCTTCAAATGGATCGTCTGCAGCTCGTCTAGTGCTCGTAATGCCGCATAGTAGTTCTTTTCCCTCAGCATATCTTGGACCGCATTGGCGATTCGCAGTACGTTTAAACACGCGTTCAGGGCTTGAGATGCTTCATCGATGTTTTGACGCACGCCTCGCGAATCAACGAGAGCTTTTTTCTGCTCCGCCAGCTTCTCAATGCTTTCTTGGATCGACTCGTTGAGCTGCAGGATCTCGCCACTCATCTGCACAGTCTGGTCTCGTATTCTAAGTAGTGAGTCGACTGAACTGACGAAATCTTGATGATTCGCATTGCATATCCGCTCAATCTCGCTTTCGCGATCGTTGGCATAGCGGTCAAATGTGATTTGTAGCTGGTTTGAGTAGCGTGGGTCCTTCATGATGGGGATCAGCTGGTCGATGTAATCTGATCCCACGGATGATTGGGAGATCTATTTCCGTCAGAACTTATAGCACATACACATGTATATTGGGGTCATCTACTTGTTTGATGGCCATCCACAAGTCATCATCAGGGTCCAAGGCTGAAGGCATGATGGCGGTTGCCTGGTACGAGATGTCGCGTCCGATCGCAAAACACGTCAAGTATCGAACGAAGATCAGGTCACAATGGTCGTAGCTATGTCTAGTTCTGTTCTGATGTTGTGGTTGATGTTGCTCGTCGTCGTCGCATATGAAACGCGTACCTGGCAAGTCGGTGGAAATAACGCTAATACGGAAGTAACTTAGCTGACTTGGCGCAGCTCATAAGACCCACTTTCCCTTGTGAGGTTCAAATGTTTGAGATTGAAGCGCGATGATCAAACAGCTACAATGAATTGAAAAAGGATCATGGTTGTATGTGTATCTGCTGTGATCCAGTTGCCTTTAGCTTCAACTTCGACGTACCGAACTGAAGCAGCGAAGTCTGAGGTCGGATGTATTGATCGTTGTCGAGTGTACACAGCAGAATATTCCACTGAAGTGCATACACAACCGCCGATGTAATGTCCAGCAATCACAGCAGAAAGAGATGGTCTTTCACATTTCTCCACGCGCGAAACATCTAGAATTTGGTTAAGTTCGGAACGTTCATGGCTTTGCAGAGACCAATGATCTGCGCGACGCGCCGCGCGCGCCCCACTTTCTGGAGCGATGACGGAGTAACCCCGCCGATTTCTCTCTACTCCGATCCGGAGTCAACGCCAAAGATATAATCTTCCCCAAACTTTTTCGCATCTTGGCAATTACTCTCAAATCACACAACATGGAGGCCATCACAAGTAAGTCAAGAGCATGATTGAGGCGAACTTCGACTAATTGATGGCATAGACAAAGTTCAGAACCTTATGGGCAACGTCAGCGGGGCTGCTGCTGGAGCATACAGCGGAAAGTAGGTGGTCGCTGAATATTTATTCTGGTAGAACTTAGCTAACTGGGTGGGCAGGACCGCTCTCTTGCTCGGTGCTGGTTTCGTGTAAGTCAATTACCAACTCATCCCAGTGTTTATCAATCTAACAACCACAGCACACGACCCACTGTTGACGTCCTCGCAAAGTCCGGTGTCAAGGTCACAGTAGCATGCCGTACTCTTCAGAAGGCTCAAGACCTGGCCAAGGGTATCCCCAACACCAACGCCATCAGCGTACGATCATATTGCTCGCATCTGCATTGCTCAGTACTAACAAATCCTAGCTCGATGTCAACGATGCCGACGCTCTCGACGCTGAAGTCGCCAAGGTCGACGTCGTAATCTCCCTCATCCCCTACACATTCCACGCGACCGTCATCAAGTCGGCGATCCGCAAGAAGAAGAACGTCGTCACAACCTCCTACGTCTCCCCAGCGATGATGGAGCTCGACGCACAAGCCAAGGAAGCTGGTATCACCGTCATGAACGAGATTGGTGTTGACCCCGGTGTCGACCATCTTTCTGCCGTCCTCACCATCGATGAGGTCCACAAGGCCGGTGGCAAGATCCTGTCATTCAAGTCATACTGCGGTGGTCTCCCCGCACCAGAGTGCTCAGACAACCCGCTCGGTTACAAGTTCTCCTGGAGCTCGCGCGGTGTGCTTCTCGCACTCCGCAACCAGGCTGCTTTCTACCAGGACGGCAAGGTCAAGTCTGTTGAAGGCCCCGAGCTCATGGCCGAGGCGAAGCCATACTTCATCTACCCCGGCTACGCATTCGTCGCGTACCCCAACCGTGACTCCACTCCCTACAAGGAGCGCTACAACATCCCCGAGTGCCAGACCATCATCCGCGGCACACTGAGATACCAAGGTTTCCCAGAGTACATCAAGTGCCTCGTCGACATTGGTTTCCTGTCCGAGGACCCCAAGGACTTCCTCAAGGAGGGCGAGAAGCGCACATGGCGCGATGCCACCGCCAAGATCATTGGCGCATCCGGCGACAAGGACGAGGACCTTATCTGGGCCATCTCCTCCAAGACAAAGTTCGCTAGCACAGAAGAGAAGGACCGCATCATCACCGGTCTCCGCTGGATTGGTCTCATCTCCGACGAGCAGATTGAGGCCCGTGGTAACCCTCTCGACACCCTGTGCGCTACTCTCGAGAAGAAGATGCAGTACGAGAACGACGAGCGTGACATGGTCATGCTCCAGCACAGGTTCGAGATTGAGAACAAGGACGGCAGCAAGTCTGTCCGTACCTGCACACTAGCCGACTACGGTGACCCCAAGGGTTACTCCGCCATGGCTAAGCTTGTCGGTGTACCCTGCGCTGTTGCCGTCCAGCAGGTGCTTGACGGTACCCTGAGCGAGAAGGGTATCCTGGCTCCCATGAGCCCAGAGATCTGCGCCCCATTGATGAAGACACTTGAGGAGCAGTATGGTGTTGTGTTCAAGGAGAAGACTGTTCCTTTGTAAGAAAGTCGCCTGTGACGCACAATGGAAGGCAGATAAACGGTGATCATGATATGGTATAGACAAAAGCCAATGAGCTTTGAGATGACTGAATGAAAACATCAATCGCTTCCATGTCTGAATTCTCTTCTGAAAGTGGTATCTTTTCCTATTGTGATATCGCATTCGTCTGTACGCCACCTCTTTGTGATTCCTTCCTTAATCTAGACCAGCAGCCGGCGGCCTACCACCAACAGCCTTCTTCGGCGCCGCCGCACCTCCTCCTCCCATGCCTCCCCCGAACATACTCCCCAACATGTCGAACATGGGGTTCCCCTGCCTTGGAATCTTGATCCCAAAGTACATCTCGCCAATCTGATCCAACGCCTCGTTCCAGTTCACCTCCTTGAGGTCCCCCGCATAATGGCTCTTGAGCTGCCTCCACAAACTCGGATCGCCCCTCTCCACGCTCAACAGCAACAATCCGAGGAAATTCAACAACGGTAACGAGGGGTATACGCGGAAGTCGGAGGACTTTGTGCTGACGGGCTGGGTAGGCGGATTCGGCGCTTTTTGCAGCGAGGAAGTGAAGAGGAGGTAGTGTTTGTTCGCGGCGCGTAGGTTGCCGGTTAGGAGGTAAGGCAGGATGCCGCGGGCGGCGTAGAGGGGCGCGGTGTGCGGGGCGTCGGATGTGTACCACGAGTAGTGGAGGGAGGAGAGGGTCGAGGCGCTGTCTTGGGTGCCGAGGAGGAGGTGGCGTTCTGCTTCGTAGGGCTCGAGATCTGTTTGGTTTTTGCGTCAGTACCCTCTGATAGCGTTATATGGGGTTGAGTTGTGCATACCTTCTGCGTATAGTCCTCCAGCGACGTGGTGTATTTCTGGGTCACCAGCTGGGTAATCGCCAACTCGACTGCTCCACGCTACCATCTCACCCACAAACTTCTTCTTTGTAGGCTCATCCTTGGGGAAGGCACGTAGAAGGCCTAGCAGTCGTCCTTTGCTCTCTGCATCTACCTTCACTTCCCCCTTGTTGTACACATCGAGGAGGAATATGCAGAGATCGCCGCCTGAGCCGCCTTGACCTGCTTGGAGGAGGGACAGCGCGCCAGAGTGGAGGATGGAGGTTGCGGACGCCCAGTCTGAGGCTTTTGTGTAGCGGGAAGCGATTACGCGGAGTTGTTGGTGGGCTTCGTAGAATTGGCCTTCTGCGATTCTGGGTGGGGTTAGTAGTCTGCGCTACGTGCGGTAAGGATGGGACCGATTACTTTTCGCGTTGTCGCGCAAGCGTCTTCTCTATTTTGGAGGCCATGTTGGGTGGTCGAGGGGCTAAGGTGGGGAGTTGCTCTGGTGTTGTTGGAGCCCTGTGAGCTTCTAGATGGTGTTCGGGAGCGATGACGCAGCGCTACGGGCGGCTGCTGAACCCCACATCAGCCGCATGCTCGAGTTCAACTTCTTTCGCACAATATTCGTTAACATGTTCGTTACGTTGTTTACCACTGACTTCCTTCCAGGACGATATGCTTCTTCCTCACGACGCTGTTTGAGAATTGTCATAACGACTGGTCAGGCAAAAAGAGAAGCCCTCCTGCTTTGAGACACTTGAGTTGGACAGACAGTCGAACTTCACCAACACATCAAGGGCAAACTTCAGGAGCAAAAATCATGAGGTTTGCGACGACCGGGACTCGAACCCGGAGCCCAAGCAGGCAACGTATAGAGCGTGGGAAGCTTGGATTTTACCCTTAAACCATCATCGCGGTGTCACGATTAGCTAGTTTGGGGCAAACAACATCTATATAGCTATCGAAACTTCGAAAACAGAGAGCCGACAGTATGATCATGATGACCAAGTCGCATTTCGAGAGATCCCATAGCTTCAAAAGCTCCTCCGCGCAGCCGGAGTATGCTGATGGCGGGGCTGAGGTGGGACAAGATGACAGGAGCGGGGTGCTGGCGCTTATCCTGACAGGTCTCAAGGGGCCGTGGCTCCTCCGCATAACAACGGTCTCGGATCGAATTAGAACGCTGCATATAATCTAAGACCTTTTAACGATAGACAACCGATGGGGGCCAAAACAAGCCAGACTCCATGCGTAGGCGATGGCTTGCATGAGCGAGCAGGCTGACATTTCATATCAGCTCATCAACGCCTCAGCCTGATGACTTGACAACCCCTCACTTTCAACAGCTTTGACCTGATAATTGTTTAGAGTTATTCATACCAATATTCTAGAAGATATATACGTTGTTCTTCATCAAACACATAGCGACATGGTCAGCGAAACCGACGTGGCGACAGCTGCGTTGGCTATAGCGATCTCAGCCTTGGTCATCGCAGCTGGTCAACTCATCGCCCAGCTGTTTTCAACTGCAGATGGATACCGTAGATGCCAGCCTTCTGTAATTGGAGAGTGGTACAAACTGGTTGAGCTGAAGTTCCGGTGGTCAGTGCCCTGATCTTGTACTGGTCGCACCAAGATTGGTCTCGAGTTTACCAAGTCGAGTAGGAGCTCATTTCGATACGAGGTTAAAGTCACGACACCTCACTTCGTAATCCGGCCAATGTATTCATTCAAGGGACGCGATTCTTTTCTTTTGGACCAGAAAAAGCCTCTTCCAGAGTTTCCCTGGTCTCTGTTCAGGAAAAACTCACGATACTTGGTCCCTCCTCACTATGCAGCTGCACTTATGGATACTTCAGACTCACGCCTGGGTACTTTCACTCGTGACAGAATGGAGACATATGGTAGACTTCACAAAAACAGCGACGGTCGAACATAAGGCTTACACACGCATAGATATGACAGAAGAAGACGTTCCTACGTGGGCACTTTTACTGGACGATGTCCATCGCTGTCAGGGGCACAGTTTCCCCTCACAGGATTTGGAGAGTAGTATGGCACCTATATGTATCACAAGTAGGTTCTCGAAGGTCAGAGTGTATGTGAAACATATGCTGATTCGCATATAACCTTCATAGGGAAAGTCCGTTCTTGGGACTTCATGCCACCGGATATCGTGCGACCAGTCTCTAGCACAACATTGGGCTGTCTAATCACGATGGCATATCGTCTGGGTATGACATGGTCAGACTTCCGACTTGATGAAGGCAAGATGCGTGCTATTGGCAACGGACAAAGCTTTTCCACATCGATAGTACGCGGTATGGGGCTGGTCGTTGAGTACAGTGGGGACTGGTCCTACATGGGGAGTTGGAGGGGTGCAGACCGCGCGCTTAGTGTCGTTGCTGACAAGGTACGTTATGTTTCGAAACGTCCATGAGTACAAAGATCTGTGGGCAGCCTTGATGAACGCAAGGTGAATCCTCAAACTTCTAGTGCTGAAGTGTCCAATACGACGTTGAAATCTCACGATATGCCACAAAGCCTTGCCTACTCGCAAATTTAGCTTACGAACATCAGATGACGTGTGGAATTATACCTGCTGGGCCCTTCGTGGATCGGTGGGATCTACGATTGAGGAACGCACAATCACCCACAGACTTGGAACTCAATCAACTATTTTCAACTCTCGAAATAAAAGAGGATGCGAAAGTAGCTTTAGAAGCAAGTTTGTCGCACAAAGATCCGGCTCACAGACTTCCTGGGTTCACAGACGTGATGGGATTGTGGTGCGACTGGATTCCCCCCCGGAACCTCCCATCGAACAAGATCGACAACCCATTTCCCTTCCCATTAACAACAATGGGTGAAATACCCGAGTCACGTCACGTTTGGAGGTCGGAGCTTAGAAAGCAAGAGTCATCACTCTCGGATACGTGTAAGCTAGTGCTGCAATTCTACGATAGGTGGGAATTCAAGAACCCCCAGGGATTTTTGAATAACTACCGACTCAAAGGGACATCAGACCCTGAGCTCGATTTCTTCAAAGAGGCGTTTGACGACACAACGGCATACCTTGGTGGACATATGGAAGTCATTAAAGAAGGGCTCATTTCTTCGGTATACGACCTACTTATAAGTGTGCACATCTCTATCAATTCGCGAAGCGTCGAACAAGCCGAGGAGAATATCAAGAACAATGCGGCACGGCGACTAGATTCGCCTCCGAATCATATGGATCCGATCTTCCAAGAACGCGCTTACATTTACACCGAGAACATACCCAAATTCGTGGAAGAGATGAGGAGGAGTGAGTTCCATGATCCCAAAAAGAACATCTCATATGAAGACGTATGGTGGATATTGATGATGCGCCTCCATTCGTGGACCATGAGCGTCAATTGGGTCGATGACAGAGGAGGCGTTAAGATCCCGAGCGAATACTACTATAGTCTAGCTCGAGTGTACATCATGTAAAGCAGGTTCTGCCTTGTCTGAATACTGATTGCGCATGGTGAAGACGTTGGATCTGAGTAGTCTTTAGAAGACTGTAGAGAGTGTGTAGGTCGTTCTAGGCCGCCGATCAAAAATGCATATCATCACAAAATTGCAAACATGAGAACAATTATAGGGTGAGCGCATTGCTCAAAACGTGCATTTGTCACAATGCCTAAAGGTATCCAAGAAGTGAATCGTAAATGGTCGTAGCACAGCCGTCGTGTCCGAAAGACCCAGTCCACCGACGATCGATGATGTAGAAGAAGAAAGCCCAAGTACCTGTCCCGATAGCCTCTAAACCCCAACCTATGCCCATATACACCTTTTGTAAACCGCGTAGCTAAGTTCCTGTAGCATGCGACCAGCCATCCCTAAGCAGATGGAGAAAGAAGAAGAAAGAGTAAAAAGAGGTGCCTAAGCAGAAGCAGTGAAGTCACGGGCGTGAGCACGCTTGGTGACGGAAGCGACAGAGGCGAGCCTGGGGCCAGGCGCATCCTGGATGGTCTCACCAGCCTTGTGCCAGTAGAGGTCCCACTGGAGGAGCTCGTCGCTGGAGTGGTACAGCTCGGTACCCTTCTTTCCAGCGGGCACCTTCTGGCTGTCGTCACCGCCGGTGACCTTGATGTTGAAGGCCTGAGGCCAGAACTGGCGGTTGCTGACAGGGCCGTTGTTGTGGATGGAAACAACCTCAGTCCTGAGGACGTAGTTGCCACTAGGGATCTCCTTGGGGATAGTGACGCTCTGGGTGTTGCCGTTGTCGTAGAAGATGGCGTCGGTGCCCCAGTAGCCGACCTCACCTTGAGGGTCGCCGCCGGAAGAGTAGCGGCCCTTGCGGTAGTCGATGAGCGCGCTCTGGTGGATCTTGAAGAACTCAAGCTCGGTCTTGTCGACGTTCTTGCAGTCGCCGTTGCAAGGAGCCATGTAGGTGGCTGTCCAGCCGTGGTGAGAGCAGTCCCAGCCCTCCTCGCCGGCGCCGCAGGTACCTTCGTGGTGCCAGGTGAACTTTACGGGCTCGCCAGCGGGGGCTTCGACGGTGTATGGGGAAGGAGAGGCATCCTTGTGGGCAATGATGTCGGGCCTAGAATTCAGTCAGTACATGGAAAGAAGACTTTACTGTGGTGGACATACTGGTTCAGCTCGCTGCCATAGATGGGCTGATATCCCCAGCCCTGGTTGGTCCACCAAGCAGGCGACTTGTTACCAGGATCCTGCTTGGAGGCCTGACGGAAACCTTCGTAAGTCTTTCCTCCAGCCTCGAACTTCTCGACGGAGGTGTGACCGGCCACGGCGGAGATGAGGGCAGCTACAAGAGCGCCGGTCTGAACAATCTTGGACATAGACATGGTTGATATGTTGGTTGGTTATAAGATGACGTTTCTTTGCAAGAGTTTTTGGGTGGTTATATGTTTAAAGAATGTGAAGAAAGTGAGTGACTCGTTGATAGCACCGGGCTATAGAAAGAATGACTGGTCAATGAATGACTGAAGAGAGTGTGACTTGCTTGTTGAGAGCGTGGAGGACATGTTGAGCAAGGGCGAGCAGTCCTTATGAACACTTGCAGCAAGACTAAGCCAAGATGCAGCCAACGTCCAGAACGCCATTTCAGAGGCGCTTACTTTTCGCCCCGCCTTTCCCGGCGGCCGTGAGGGGTTTGCACGGTCGCTTCTGATGTCTTTGACGTGCGTCGTGCTGACCATAGAGCTGCGCCGGCGCTCAGCATGTGGAGAGTGTGCCTGACGCTAATGTAGGTACGAGAGGACTAGTCTCTTCGTTACGACGACTGGGTTCGCCTGGCGTGTTGGAGAACACATTCGCTACCGTGGGTTGTCATCTGAGCGCGTATGTCAGCTGTAAAGATGACAATGCGTACCCCTTCCCTTTGCATCGTGCTAATATTGTCACGTCGCTGTCGGTGTCTCAGCCTGCTGTGCTATGCTCATCCCCGAGTGGAGTTGGCATACGCACTCTCGTATACCGAAGCCCGGACACAGAAGCCTCAAAGAATTTCGGTGGATCTCGGAGAATACCGAGATCACCCAAATCAACCAAAACGACGAATCAAATCGCTGTGATGTCATGTGAATTTGCGTTTGAAATGACTTGGGCTGTTTTTCTCGTGGTCGGATCGCCGTTCGGCTGTGAGTCGTGGAAGCAGGGGTGAATACGGGGCTTCCGCTGCCGCACAGCGCCGCTGTTTCAGCCACCAGAGGGCTATCGATAAACAGCCTATCGACAAGGCCCATCGCCTCCCAACACATGCCGGGCGCATGCACAAACTGTGGTTCACTTCTGCGACGAAAACGTACGGGTGTTTCGAGAGAAAGTCGTGCTATGTTTCAAAGAATGCACCCTGACGAACTCCCACCGAACACACATTTGAGATTGTAGCCATAGTACGCTTTCTGGCCTTCCTGGTAATACGAGGTACACGCATGAGCACTGCCGAAAAGCCTTGGTATTTTTCCTCCTCCGTGGTCCAGATGCTGGCACTCCGCTCAGGGATCGACAGGTCGCCACGAGCAGGCTTGACCTTCCTCCTTGAGTTGTGCACCCGTGTGATCCGGACGATGCGGATGCATGCGAGCGTTTCCTGCAAAGTGTACGATGCCGTAGTAGCGCTCGGTACGGGATAGTTGCGGTGTCGGCAAAAGTTACTTACGTGTAGGACTTGTCAAAGCGAAATAGCAAAATGATCAGTGATGTCGCGAATGGCCAACCAGCGCTCCGTTATACCGACACCTCTTTACCATCATATCCGTACTGCAACAGCCTTGGTTGCCATCATTTTCTTCGGTTTGAATAAGCGAAAACATGCTGGCAAACGTCGAATTTCTTGATCTACACCTAGAAGATTCGGGTGTTTTCCCAGCATCATTTGGTGGCGCTCTCCATTGCAATTTGCTGCCTTGCTGTTGGCCAATAGTCGTACGATTGTTCCATGGACATCAAAAGCAAGTTCGTCGAGATGTTCCTTGTTCATCTAGAGACACCCCGCTCTCGACAGCCTGCATGATGATTTCTTTTTATGAGCGATCCCATGGGCCTTTTGCGACAATGACTGCAGGATCGTCGTCCGGCACGGCTCTGCAGGCGAGAAATGCACCCAAGTATTGATTTTCTGCCCTGCTACCACGAAAATCCCATCGTGAGCGTCAATATTACGACCGCACTGGCTTTGATCGACGTTTCCTGCAGCTTTTCAAGGTGCACTCGGTGGTATGCGACGACGTCACTACCGCTTCGACTTGCAGTCCGCGGCAGGGTTTAGTAAAAAGCTCCTGGAAGTGCAAGAAATACCGAAGGTGAGAGGCCCGAGTTCGATGAACTTCCAGGAAGCACTTGTCAGCAGTCGGTACGTTCAAAGTGTCGTCATGCCGTTGCTGCAACGGCGATTGCTCCGACACCGTTGATTGCGTCGTGAGCAAATACACACGTACTAAGATTGTGGTCGAGTACATACAGTGAGAAGCTACACCACCTCAGCATCTTCTCAGCAAATCTGTGCTCATTTCTTCAGTGTTTCCTTTTCCAAATCTCCAATCATGAATCGTCTTACATCGACAGCGTCGTTGATGTCATGATCTGGGAAGTCGATATTTTGGAATAATGCTCCCAAGCATTGGCGCTCCTCTCTTACTGCTTTGGTATTCATGTTCAGTATCGGTCTCACACTCACATCGTACCGACCCAGGTCCCATACACATAGTTCGGGTGCGTCTTCTTTCTTAGCTATCGCGCAGACATGTTTTTTTTCTCGCGCGCAGGTGGTAACTCTACGCGACAAGATCTGCGAGGCGCAGACGCAGGCGCAGGTGAAGTCGCTCTACCAGTCGTCCTGGACCCTCCGTCGGGTAAAGGAATACGTCAGCTTTGACAACTGGCTACCCACAATGATAATGTTTTTGTTGCGGCCAGCGCGCTGGTGAGCAGGCGTATCGAGCATCGCCGAAACCTGTTGAACACCGAAACTACTACCATAATCCGGTATTGCTTCAAAATTGTCGCCTTTATCATCTTCACCATCCGAATCCCCACTGGCTTCGGCTTCATCTGTGATCATTTCGTGGCTTGGCTTCCCGCTGTCTTTCATTTCATCTGCGCCATCCTCGCTGTTCTGAGCCGTCTTTGTTATTGTCGCAAATGCTTGCATCGTCTGCCAGACCGCTCTACCCACTCGGAATGCTTTCTTTTCCTCCTCTCCCCGCTTTGGGCAGATATCGAGGTTCATGAGCATCAACGCAGGACCACAAGTGCAAAATCTTAGCCAATCCCAAATCACCAGCCCAGATCCTGCTGCCCCTCTGAATTGACACTCGCCTTTAGATAGTGTGCTGTATCGCCTGCCAAACTGCCTCGAAAATAGGCATGCCCGCTATCATGCGTTCGCTCGCTGACGCCGCTTCGGGTAGACAGACTACTATGCTGTCGGTGAGTCTAGGTCGTCCTGATTACCTTCGAAGATGGAACTACCTCTGAGAGATGTCGTTATGTTGTTCCAGACGGTCGTACAGGTGGATAGTATGGCGAATCAGTCAAAGTACACATCGTTCTCACCCGCTAGTAACCACTGGCGAAGTTGTCCGAGCAAAGTCAGTGACTCGCGTTGCGACGTTGCGGGAGCGCCACTGGTACCTCAAGCTTTGGATTGAACGAAGCAATAAATCGAGCCATTTTCCACACACTCAGCGATACTTATAGGGTATGCTCGTTGGTCCCCTGACTTCAAGGCCGCATCCCGTTGTGCTCTCGACTCAGTATCAGTTCCAAGGTATCCGCATTGTTTCGACGTCCACGCGAGCCAGCCAGCGATGTAGCCGATGTCTTTTTTTGTAGCAGCGATACGTTAAAGATGACGAGTTCCTTTTCAGCAAGTCATTTCTCGTTAGATGGTCCATGGCGATAAGAGAGAATCGACAAGTCGCTTGCGAGTTGGCTGTGGAAAGAATTCGAATCTGTTGTCTTTCTGCACTTCAGCGCAATATTTATGCTTTGAGAGGGAGGATCTGTGCCATACGGAGTCGAAAAGGGGGTGAGACGGGATGTAGTCAGGTATCAGGACTACTATAGCCGCGTGGGGTAATTACCAGGAATGGCGGAGCGATTCGGCCCGCTTTGAGCTACGATAGCGAAGTGATCGCTGGGGAGGTAGATAACAGGTGAACGGTGGAACGAATCAATCCAAGTTCTGCCAAAGCCCAGCTGCATGAACGGATCTTGATTTTCTTTGTAGTATCGTTGTCATAAGCGGCTTGTTGTTCAGCAACGGAGGCTTCGCCTTCGAGAGACTAGGTTTCCAATCGATCAAGGATGTAAGACGACCAAGTGCTCAGGCCTGATAATGCGTGAAGGTTGGGGTCAAGATCCACTGCGAAAGTCACCAGGGGCTATACGTACTCCACACTGTAAGCCACACATACTTGGAAGCTTGCTCTCTTTTTATCACTCTCAGGACGTCTTCCAAAGAACGCTGCCACGCACCTCTTCGGCCGATGGCTGGATCTGAAGCGGGTTGATCAAATTGGGGGATAACACAGGAGTGAGAGACGCTCGCCCCAGAGATTCATTGCTGATATGTCCGTAGCTGCAATCCAGACTGGAGCTAAAAGAACAGCATGCGATGACCGCCCAGTGTTACTACAGCAGGATCCCAATGTGGGCATCTAGATTGTCGCCGACGAGACAGCAGAACGACCCGCGACCTGGTCGTGGGAGGTTTATGTCAAAGAGCTTTGAAACATCGTTGAAGACGCCAAGGGCGGTTAGGCTCATAGGAAGTTGTCGACGCGACGCGACGCGACGCCTTCTCCGAGTGACAAGTGGGGCCATTCTTTGCTGACTCCGACTCCATCAATTCCACGCTCTTAGGCATCGCGCGGTCATCGCTCGCACTTTGGCTCACTTCATTCGACTTCCTCTCAATTCTCGCTTACTGTTCCAGCGCGCGACTGCAGTTCGAAGCGGGATAATATGCGCGCACATGTACATCCGTGGAGCGGTACAACTCCTTGGGCGCAGTGAGCGCAACTTTCCATCAATCAACTAGAGTATCGCACACATACGACATGCCATCGCCATCGTACTTCTATGCACCGGTTAATATACGCCCTCCAGAGCACAAGTCTAGACTCTTCGTCGTGACGTGGTGTTGTACATTCAACGATGACGTTCGATGACGATCTTATCAAATCCTAACCCCACCAGAACCCGCCCCTACAATTACCCTCTGCGATCGGCAGAAATGTTCAGAACAATCACCAGATCTTCAAACCTCATTTTCAGGAAGCCAATCACCTCTCCTCTTTCAATCAGATCTATTACACGTACCTTTACTCACACAGCCTTCAAGATGAGCGACAACAAGGCTCCCGTTACCGCCTACCCGTCCACAGAGATCACACCTCAGAACCAAGAAGGTGGCCCAGGTCTTGACGCGAAGACTGAACAAAAGGCAGAATGGTCACGTCTCGAGTTTTGGGACGAGAACCAGAAGCCGTACCTCAAGGAATATGAGGGCCGAGGCTTGATGCAGGGCAAGGCTGCATTGATCACAGGCGGAGACTCAGGTATCGGACGAGCTGTAGCCATTCTATTCGCGAGAGAAGGCGCCGATGTTAGTATCGTGTATCTGCCCGAGGAAGAAGAGGACGCACAGTATGTCAAGAAGAAGGTCGAGGAGGCTGGTCGCAAGGCAAACCTCATGCAATTCAACTTGAGGGAGCGGAAGAACTGCGAACAGGCTGTTGAGCAACATATGAAGGTGTTCGGCAAGCTGAACGTCCTCGTCAACAACGGTAAGATCCCATTACTTTGTTCATGTTTGGAGAATGATACTAACAGTATAACAGCTGCGATGCAAGAAGCCTGCACAGACATAACAGAAATCGACCTCGACGTAACAGAGAAGACCTTCCAGACAAACGTCGTCTCCATGTTCGCCATGTCCAAATACGCACTCAAACACATGAAGCGCGGCGACTGCATCGTAAACAGCACTTCCGTCGCGGCCTACATGTCTAACCCCATGCTCCTCGACTACGCGTCCACCAAGGGAGCCATCGCGACTTTCACCCGCGGTCTTGCGCAGCAGCAAGCGCCAAACGGAATCCGCGTGAACGCTGTCGCGCCAGGTATCATCTGGACTCCGTTGCAGCCGGCTACTAAGAACAACCCGGCGGATGCTATGGATTCGCTTGGTGTTGGTGCTTGCCCGCTGAACAGGCCGGGTATGCCAGTTGAAATGGCTACATGCTATGTGCATCTAGCTTCACCACTTGGGTCGTACTGCACTGGTGAGGTACTTCATGGATCTGGTGGTATTGAGATGCAGGGTTAAGGGAGATGTACCGATATGGTGGTAATCGCAATAAGATCATGAAACGAAGGATATGTCGTTTGGAGTAGTTTAGATGAATCTAATTTCGACCGATGGTTGCTGGCTAGTATCGCCCTTATTCTCAAATGTTCTATATGCTCTAAAACGACCAAATATACCTATGGGCATTGGCTTCGGATGTTTTGACTGTAGCGCTGTCTGAGTATTTGTCGTGCAATCTCATGACGCGCTCTCACAATGCTTTTCTGAACTCATCTCAGAAACAAAATTGGGGTTGGAAGAATCAGCTACAGCAGATCATGATAAAATGCGCTCTTTGTTTTGGTCTCAAAGACGGCGGCCATGTGGCATGCTCCACGGAGTCTTGAATATTGAGAATAAGGTATTCAACGATGCAGAAGAGAAGTATGGGCTGAGGCAAACCCTACACTGCCGTCATTGACGGCTCCAGGAAATCAGAAGTCATGGCAGCTTTTAGTCTCTCTCTCAAGAGTCTCGACGCATTCACTTAGAGTGTAATGTATGCATGTTCTGAGTTTTTGGAGCAAGCCTCTCGTCATATGTAGAGGATCCTGCCATTTTGCGGCAGACTCGGCCCTTTCATAAACTGCTTTCCGCTGTTTTTCCTTAGATTCTGAGGAGACCGCAACACGCCACATCGTTTTGTAAATACTGTTACGGATGGCCGGGAAGAAGGTGGTCATAAGTGTGCTATTCTGACGCTCCGATAACACGACCTGAGGATGTGTATATTTCGAAGACGTTTATAGCTAGGGCAGCATTTCCACATGCATCTCTCGAAATATGATCTCTTGATAATCTTCTCAGAGGACTCGATACTTCCATGGGCGTATCTGTTGTTCGTTTTGATTGAGGAAAGGCAAACACATGGCGGAGTCGAAACCTGTTTTTAGAAAATGCCAGGAGAGACGACACTCATAAAACCAGTTTTGCGATATTCTTGTGACTGGAAAATAATGATGTGTAGATCTGGAAGAAGGCTACGGCCACAGGACGAAGCTTATATACATCCTTCCGGCAGCGCTTGCTCAAAGAGTTGCGTTTGTTATTGGCATCCGTCGTGGTCGCACTTAGTGGAACGTGAACATGATTTCTGGGCATCCCCAAAATATGGATGCAAACCCTGTTCTCATGTCAACCGAGCAGAACAAGACAGCATGATCTTGTACATGGTCACCTTGTTAACCCTAGACTGCACTAGAGGCTTTCACCAAGTGCAAAGTCATGACCCATATCTTCTTTTTATTTCCGAGAGAGAAGGGGAGACCATACAGAACGCTCTGAGCGATTTTGGTGTGTGAATGATGCTCAAGTAGGTATTATAAGGCCAGGAGCGGAGAGGGCGAAGGAAATTTATATCGTGCCTCAAGTAGCGACGCGCTGTATACCACTGCAACACTGGAGACGGTCATGGTAAGAGACTCTAAATAGTTTTTTTCGGAACAACATGTTGTTTTGGATCTTGTGCTTGCGGCCGTAGAGTTGCGGAGGACATGTATGCTGGTGTTTCCAATCCTCTCCAAAAAAACCCGCAGATCATCAGTTGGTCCTAGGTATATTTCAGGAAAAGGCCAGAAGACCATGAGCTTGTGATTCAAGATTTTTGTATTGTGAAATAAACCGTGTGATATAGATGAGGACCTGAGCAAGAAAGGCATGGTTTTTATATCAGAAGCGAAGTGGCCATTTTGCATATGTCGAAGTCGTCGATTCCAAAGGCCGGAATTCCATGTGCTCATCCTAATTATTTTGGGGAAAAACGGAACAAACATGCGCTAAACCACCCGGCATTTTGTTTTTATCGTTTTTTGATGAAAGGGTGTGTTGTAGATGAGCAAAGGCGACAATGAGGCGGGTTTTATATAGGGCTCAAGGCGGAG